ATCTCCAAATAACTTAAATTGCACAATGAAGATCAAGATAAAGAGACCTAACAGTTATATGATAGTAGAGTATTCTAGATTCATACATCCAGGTTTGTTCGATGGATAAAAAAGTTGTTAGCCAACTTATTTTTCTCTAATTTCTTTCTCAAATGTATCAACCAAGAGGTGGCTCACCTCTTCACTTTGCACCCCAAAGAATCACCCTTGTCATAATTTGTTGCAACTTGTAACTACAATTTAAACCAAGGCAGGTTGAAATGGACTTGAGACAATAATATCCTAGTAGTAAAGAAATATTTTGAACTGCTTCATGAGCAAGCCAGTAAGCTCCCAATATATGTCCAAACTGAAAATGTACAACCCCTACATAAACCATTTATGATAGACCTGAAAAATACATAAAACATTGTGTAATAGTTGATACCAACAAAAACTAAATTAAGAGAGAAACATTTAGGTTGCGTTTGGAAACAATGCAAATGGAGTGTAAATCTCGGTTCAGGATAAATTTGCWCTCTGATTCACTTTTGCTTGTGTTTGGCAACATTACATTTATGCATTGACAAATGACAGACCAATGAATATTTACATTGATAATAAGATGTAAAAGTACATCAATAAAAAAGAAGTAAATTTGCATTCAAGTGGACTTTTGATAAATAAAAAGCATATGCTTTATTGAAATTCATGTTTGCATCCATTACAGCTATAAGTCTATTTGATAAGAAGGTAAATTTGTCAGTGCAAAACTAACCCAACTTTGCAATTTATATGAACCATTTTACACTCTACATATTTGCATTCATACTTATTTTCATCGTTTCCAAACACTACCTTATGTACAAACTGTACAAAACATAACAATGCATTAAGTTCCTACTAATAGCCAATTAGTCAAGAAATTGATTGGATTATATTCTTCAATTAATCTATGTATTAACATATCTAGGTTTGAAATATGTAAGATTTTGGAGTTTGGATTTCAATTTGTTTTTTCATGAATTTGTATGTTCACCTTATTCACGAACAACTTACATGTTCATCTTAGAAACCTAAAATTGAGAAAGCAGGAAACAAAACCAAAGCTTTAGGCAGTAACAACTAAAAGTAATTTATTGAAACCAAGCACCCCACCTCAATTTTAGCTTAGATGATTTTCTTTCCAAGACAACTAAAACTGAAAAGGTCAAGAAAGTTAAGCAATTTATGAAAAACCTTATAATTAAGAAAATTAAAAGTTGTTCAAGTTCAACTCAACATCTACTGAAGTTAACATTTAGAAAGCAAAGAACAAAGTTTAAAACCATTACATTATAAGTAATTCCGATACTTAGATAAAAAAATGACTACCACATGAAGGTTGCAGAAGCAAGGAAGCATCCAACAAAATCATATTAGTTTCATCTATCCACAAGGTTTATATATCCAAGTTACTCCAAACTTCAATAGCAAGTTAAAAAACAAAAGAAACCAAAAGTTGCATTGGAAATTTTGAAATAGTTAAACACCAAATTTAATGAAAATTTGGTGAAAAGATATTTTTGCTGGCCATGGCCACGGGCCTTCAGTTCTAGATTTTCTATAGACAATTGGTGTTTCTTATCAATTTTTTCAACCACTTTTCTCCCTTTTTTATATTTTGTTTTTAGTTGCATTAGGATTTAAAGGTTTAACGGTTGCTTTAGAAGGAAAGCAGACCATGCTTATTGCTTATGCAAAGCCAACAAGTCAATAATGTCATTTAGCTTCGCATAGAACCCTCTAAGCAGTCTTTAAAATATATATATATAGGGGTGTTTTCCTCTTTCGCCAAATGGCAGTCTTTAAAACATATATATATTATCGGCTTTGGGCCGATGGTTTGACCGTCTGATTCAAACGAATGATCCATTTTGACAACAAAAATTATAAGCAAAAATTATGGAACCGTTCTGACCACCAGTTTCGGGTTGACAGTTCAACTGTCCGGTTAGAATGGACGGCCTGTTCTAACAACAAAAATTATAAGAAAAAAAATTGAGTGTGTGAGGTCCATTAAGCAGTATCATACATGTTATGTCATTCGAGTGCATGACTCTTATGACCCGAAAATGGAACTGTTCTGGCCACCAATTTTTTGGTTGATGGTTCAACCGTCCAGTTTGAACGGACGGCCCGTTCTGACAACAAAAATTAAAAAAATAAAAAAATGGTAAAAAACCATTGAACAGGTAACGGGTCGATGGTTCGACCACTAGGGTCAATGGGTCGTTGACCGATTCAATGGTTTTTGGCCAGGGACCGGGATTGGGGTGAAACAGAACCGGTTGCCTGGATGGTTCCCAATTAAAAAAATAAAAAAATGGCGGTTCGATCGTCTGGTTCGAAGGACGGGTCATTCTAACAACAAAAATTACAAGCAAAAAATTGAGTGTAAGAAGTTCATTAAGCAGTATCATACGTGTTATGCCATTCGAGCACATGAATCATATGCCCCGAAAATGGAACTGTTTTGACCACTAGTTTTCGTATTGACGGTTCGATCATCTGGTTTGAACTGGTGACCTATTCTGACAACAAAAATAAAAAAAGGCCAAAAACCATTGAACGGATCAACGGGTCAAAACTATTGAACGACTCAACGGGTCGATAGTTCGACTGCTCATGTCAATGGGTCATTGATCGATTTAACGGTTTTTGGCCAGGGACCGGGATTGGGGTAAAATGGAACCGGTTGCCTGGACGGTTCCTGGGCTGAAATGTCCATCTGTCTGGGTCAATGGCGGTTCGAAAACCATGGTTTTTTATGCTTTTGGATTTTCACTATTCAAAGGTTTCTTCTACTGTTGGTTTTATTCGAGCGTGTGCGGTATGTTCCTTTTTTGCTTTTGGATTTTCTACTTTTGTCTTTTTTGTGTGTTTGGTCTTCTTCTTTAACAAAAATTACAGTAAAATAGTTGAGTGTATGAGAACCATTAAGCAGTATCATACGTGTTATGTCATTCAAGCATGCGACTCATACGACTTGAAAACGGAATTGTTCTGCCCACCAATTTTTAAGTCGACGGTTCGACTATCCAGTTTGAACGAATGACCCTTTCTAACAATAAGAATTAAAAAAAAGGCCAAAAACCATTAAACGGGTTGACAGTTTGACCGCCTGGGTCAATGGGTCATTGACCGATTCAATGGTTTTTTGCCAAGGACCGGGATTGGGATAAAACGGAACCAGTTGCCTGGATGGTTCCCAATTAAAAAAAAATAAAAGAATGGTAAAAAACCATTGAATGGGTCAATGGGTCGACAATTCGGTCGCTTAAATCGAGTCAACGGTTTTTTTCCAGGGACAAGGATTGGGGTAAAACAGAACCGATTGCTTAGATGGTTCCTGGGCCAAAATGTTCGTCCGTCCAGGTAAACGGCGGTTCGAAAACCATGGTTTTTTATGCTTTTGTCAAAGGTTTCTTCTACAAAAACCACGGTCTAGGGTTTACCACCATTTTATTTCTTCCCTTTTGTTTTTTCTTTGGGTTTTCTTGTGCAATATTTTTTTTTTTAATTTTTTACAAGACGATCTTCTTTGTCTCTTTCTTTGATTGCATGTATGTTTAGCTCTGTCTCAAAGTGGAACTTTGGACTCGATTTTCTGATTTTTTTTCATTGGCTTTTCTAGTTTAGTGGATTTACCGCCAAATTTTTGTGTTTAAGGTCACTTTGGATTTATCTTTCAAGGTTTTGGAATCCCTTGCAATGTCCACCCTTTTCATGACTATGACTACAAAGTTATTTTGTTTAATTATTGACATCTAGAAAAAATGACCTGGAAACGAAATCGTTCTGGCAACTGGTTTCTAGTTCGATGGTTCGACCGTTTGATTCGAATGGATGGTCCATTTTGACAACAAAAATAAAAAAAATAAAAAATGGACAAAAACTGTTGAATGGGTCAACGGGTCGTTGACTGATTCAACGATTTTTGGCTAGGGACTGAGTTTGGAGTTAAACGGAACCGGTTGCTTGGACGGTTCTTGGGCCAAGCAGTCCTACTGTCGGGGTCAACTGGGTGGTTCTTGGGCCAAACAGTCCTACTGTCGGGGTCAACTGGGTGGTTATTGGCTGTGGACTTAAAAAGCAAACTCTCTCTCTCTCTTAACAAATAAATTGGTTGTAGCTTGGTGGTTTTTGTAGTTATTATTTACATAAGTGGTGAAGGTTTAAATCACATTATATGCATGTTATTTTTACACAAGCGGCAAAGCCATTTGATTATGTCCGGATTTCGGGTTTGACCAAACCACTTAGGTTCAAACTAGTCAAACCAGCCTAAACCACTTAGGTTCAAGGGTGGTTGAATTGTTTAGATCTGGATCAATTCGGTTGGACCAGATCGGACTGGATCGGTTCAGTCAATGGTGGATTGACTTGGACTGGACCATATCAAGTTTGTGCACGAGTTCAAGACCGGACCAGCTGGCCCGAACCAGGTCAATGAAGCTAAATCGGGTTGGTCCAGATTCGGGTTGGGTCGTGTGAATATTTGTCGGTTGGACGGTCTAGATCGGACAAAGCACGTGGAGGCTGAATCATCCGGTCCAAAACCGTTCCGGACTCGGGTCGACTCGGATCGACTTGTACCGGGTCAAGTCAGAGTGTGCGAATATTGGTTGGACTGGATGACCCAAGTTGGACAGAGCAAGCGACACTGAACCATCCCGCCCGGGGTCTATTTCGGATTCAGGTCGACCCGGATCTGTATATGCTGGATTGGGTTCGCATTGAACCGATTCAAACTCAAGTCAAATTGATTTGGATTTATGTTGGGTGAAGTGTATTGATCCAAAACAAAAGTAAATTTAATCAATTATTAATAGAAAATTAATGCATTAATTATAAACTATTTAATTCAAATAAAGAAAATAAAAAAAAGGCTAAGTAATTAATAGTTATGTGTATAATGATTAGCCCTGTAAGTGGCAATTGGTATTCTGTAACTTAATCTTGCCCTAGCTTGAAGGGTGTAACTTTACCCTTTTACCATTAGTATCAAACATAAACACGGAGAATACAAAATAACAAGTCATATGAGTTGGTAAGCCTTCTTCGAATTGAACTTTCTACCAACACACGCCGTAGCAAAATCTTGTTGAAGCTTAAGATGGAACCTTGTTGAATCTCCTTTACAAAATGAGAAAATAACATTCAACCGATGATTGATCAATTGATTGTGAAAAAAAAAAATTAAATAAAGAGAGAGCGAACAAGTGATTGTTTTTAGAATTAGCATTTGAGTTTTTTTATGTAGACAAAATGTAATACATACGTACCTCGATATTGGGGTTTAGGGAGAGAACAAGGAAGGCGTATAATGACAAAGAATTGATTGGAATTAGACAAAGACATCCCTAGAGGTTCAAGAGGAAGATTTGTTAGAAATCATAAAAGTAGCAAGCAACAATACACTAAGAAAATGAACAATTGTGATAATAAACATCAAACAACGAGAAGAAGAAGATTGAAAGAGTATTGCATATCTTATGGTTCAAATATGGAAGGGGGAATATAAATTAACATTGAACTTAAAAAAATAAAAAAAGGTCAAAACTGTTGAACGGTTCAACTGCTCGGGTCAGCGGTGTGCTGATCAAATCAATGTTTTTTGACAAAAAATCAGTTTTAGGGAAAAAATGGAATCGGTCACCTAACTGGTTCCCAGTTTTTCCGGTCCGACCATCCGAACTGGTCCAATTTTGAAAACCATGATTTTAATAACATTAAAAATGGTAAGTGTTAATAAAAAAAATAAAGAATATTATTATGTTTTAGTTTTTAAGTAAAAATTATTCACACGTGTAAGAACCAAGAGATGAGAAGCCTTCGTGTGAACATTGTGGAGCAAGACCCTTCACCTCTCCTATTTCTTATTTATTATATAGATATAGATAAGTAGATATTGTTATGTGATTTAAAGTAACTTGTATCTTTCATACTTTAGATAGAATTTGAACGAATTTTTTCGAGGTTTAGGATTGATAGGTGCTTGGTAAATGGTAGTGTGCCTTAAGCAAAGGAGTACTTGGTAGTGTCCAAGCCCAACTACCTAAGCAAGGGCAAAATATAAGGCTTTACACCCAGGCAGGTCAGGTCCAGACCAAAACTCCAACGTACAAGCGTAACCTAAAAACTTGGGCCAGACTTGGGGCCCAGGTCCATTTCGTTTTCTCTGCCCCTATTTGTAGATTGGGCAAATTTCTAAAACTATTTTATCGTTTAGTTAACCCATGGATTTGAAACTAAAGAGAGGCTGGTTCAGATATAAAAAAAGTTGCAAACTTGGCACCCTCCACTTTGATGATTTGCAAACATAGCAGCTAAGACTGCCAAGGTCACTGAGAAATCCTAGACTCTATCTTTTGTCGAAGAAAAGCTACAGCCATGGCAGGCCCAGTGGCGTGGGTGCACACGACAAACCCAGGATGGTGATGCATAGCACTAGGCAGAGCGCATCCTGACCGTCCGCTCGTAACTAATTCCAGCAAATTCAGTTATAAATAAATGACATCACTATGAGGTAATCCATCTTGGCATTTACTGTTCTAAGCTCTCTAGCTTTCTAGTGACCTCATCTGAGTTACTCCACTTAGTCCTCGTTTGATCACTTATCGTTCTCTTTATTAACTTGATCGTTGGAGTCTCTACCCCTGGGATAACACTTGGGGCCTTTGACGTGCCTCTTCCTCCAAAGGTCCGACTTACAGACCCTCGACTCTATCAGCCTTTAGACACATCAGCCCTCAGCCACGACAGACCTCGGCTAATGGAAGGGTAATTACATTGTTGCCCTTGACCCATCCTAGGCCTAGCAACAATTGTCATCCAAAAATTAGAATATTTCGTCTTTTTTAGGTGTTTCACATAATTCTTTTTTGACTTGGGTTTCTTAAAGATACTCATCAGAAACTTCCTTGTAGATTATCTCTTAGATACTTAGATTTGAAAGGAACCCCAGTTTTTGTTAGTGCTTAACGAACGCCCGTTAAAGAAAGACAGGTCTATGCAATTTTCAGAACCATCTTGTAGAACCGGTTATGTTATCTTGTAGAATTGGCTTAAAATGAGATTTAGAGTAGAAAGGTTTCAATTAGATTTTATTTTGAAAATTTGAGGAATAGTAAAGGATAAATTTGACATTTTATTTTTTTCTTAGTACTTAATGACAATGTCAATTTTAAAAAAACTTGGGGTACTTTAAGACAATATATAAACATTAATGCTATGTTTGGTTTGAAGTAAAATGTAGAAAAATGAAGGAAAACATTTACAAACCTTGTATTGGTTTCCCAGTCTTTCCCTTCCTTTTCCTTCAAACCAAACATGGACTAAGGGTAAAAATAGTCAATTAACTAAAATATACGTATAATTCAAGATATTTGCCCTTTTATTTTACTCAGATTAATTTGGATTTGCTTTAAGAGAGTGCGCCTCACATAGTCACACCAACCTTAAAGAGTGACAAGATCTGCTCCTCACAAATGGGCACTTCACAGATACATCCACCATGCATTGGGAACATTTCCCTTGAATAATAACCAAATAAGTACGAAAAATGTTCCCAATACGCGTGTGAAGCGCCGGTTGTGAGGAGCAGATCCGGTCCGGTCTCACTTACAGTTACAGGTCATTGAAGCCGTCCGGAACATGTTTCCATGAATGATAACGTCAAGTACGAGTTGCGATGAATAAAACGTATCGGATATACAATTTTATGTACTTAAGAAATGTAAATAAAGATAAATTGCAAATTAGTACCTGTAATTCTCCCGCTCTCTACTGCTGCCGTTCACGATTTTAAGCGCTCTCTGTCTCTCCTCCTCCTCCTCCTCTCTCTCTCCTCTTTGTCTTTCAAAATTAAGCCAACTTCCAGATCTTCAAGACTTAAACTTCCCTCCACAATCAATATCGAATCTATCCAAAGATACCTTTTTTGGATCTCAAGCTTAGCCCTTTACTATTACAAAGTAAAATCTGAGCTTGAAAGACCAGAGAAAGAATTTGTCAAGAAATGCTCTTGCTCCATTGACGGATCTTCATCGTCTCCCGTTCGTTGCTGTCTGTCATCTCAATCGATTAAAGACGAGGAAGAAACCGTAGAATAGAAACGATTCTTTGCTGCCGGAAGTCTAAGGGCATGTTTGGTTCACTGTTAGTGGCTTCATTTCTTATGGAGTATGAAAGAGAATGGGCAAGAATGAATGAAATATAAGTGTTTGGATAACCATTTCTTGCCGCAGGACTCATTCTTCCCAGAATGAAACTTGGGTCTCGGACTCTCTCGGGCAAAAAACATAACATATTTTGCGACACGAAAAATATTCGTGCCCCATTTTACCGGCCCATTTTTTTTGTTTGAAGTGTTTGTAACTCTCGAGTACTCAACTGAACCGTCGTCCCCCCCTCTCTCTGTACAAGGTAAAATCGATCTGCTAAGATCGATCTCAACCTTTGAAGCTTATCAAGATCGATTTCTCTTCTTCTTCTTTCTGTGCACCGAGCACGAAGCTAACGGTGAAGGTAAGTTGGATACCTCCTCCTCCTCCTTCTTCTTCTTATCTATTTCTTGCTCTGTTTTTTCCCCTTTTCCTAGGTCGACCACCAGTCTCGGCCCTGTAACCATTAAGAGCAAGCAGAAGAAGGTATTTCATCAATCTTTGTCTCTTCATTTTTTTTTCTTTATTGGTATTTGTGTATTAGATCATTCTGGAGTTTTTTTCCTATCTGGTCAAAAGGGGCATCGATTAAGCAAGCCCCTTTTGATTTTCTTATGGGATATCCATGTTCTACTGTTTGTTTTTTGAGTTGATAGCGAACATTATGAAGAACTTGAGCAAGTAGTCATTCTGATTTCCTTATCTGGTCACATGGCTATTGTTGATTTGTTTTTTATTTTATTGTTTTTATTTGTTGATCAGGAAAATTTTATTGTTTTTATTCTATTATTTACATTCTGCAAAAAATTGTCCAAAATTAATCCTCATCAAATCTAGTTTGGTAACTACGTACTTATTAATGTCAAGCTAAACTTATTGATTTTGGTGCCGAAATCATGTTAGAACAAGGGCTCACCTGCTGGAGCTTCAACAGCATCAGTTGCACTCGTAAGTCAGGTAAGCTCAAACACATGGCTTACAAAATTATATTGCTAGTTTTCTTCTCTATTATCTTTTTCCTATACACTACCTACTTTTTCTTTTGCATCTTTCTCCTTCATGATTATCATTTTTATATGTCACCTTTATCATTATCATTATAGTTCAGTTTGTTTTTAGTTACTGATCAAGGAAAGAGTAAAAACTTAAAATGATTATTGGTAACAAAGATAACTTTATCAAATTAAATATTACTTCTCTACAAACTGACTTTTGGTTGGTCTTTAGTTGCTTTAGTGTCATTTGCAATGATTATATGTTTAATGCCATTTCAAAAAAAAAAAAAAAACTACGATTCTGATAAAGAAAATAACAGTATCAAATCCATGACTGTGTGGACTTTTGGGTCTTTAGTTGCTTTAGTATCAAATCTTGCTGAATAAAGGTGACGAAGTTTGGTAAGTGATACTGATACATTCATGAAGATGGAATCAGGGAGGTTGTGTGGACTTTTGGGTCATTATTGGCAGAGATGGTAAGGCTATAAGGGTGAAGGCTTTGAAAATTGAAATTGAGGGAGAGCCAAATATGAAGGTAGAGTCCATCCATAAACTACATAATCTCAAGCCACAATTTATCCCGTGTCTCAGTCAAAGTTTCTTTTCCTGTCAACAGAAACTTACATAGTTGATCCTCGATCCCATCACTTCTTCTGGACATGATTTCCATAGAAAACCTCTATTAGATCCCATCACTTCTTCTGGACATGATTTCCATAGAAAACCTCTATTAGATCCCATACTTCAAAGAAAAATGAAAAAAAAAGGACTATTTGGGGGGTTGCAGATCACTGTATTTGATTTTGTCTTCATTCCAAACTTCCATTAAATGGACCAAATTCTAAAAGCAAAGCCGTAACAATTGGACCATATATGATCTTTCCTATTGATACCAATTGAATGGTTTGGATTCAGTGATTCCAAGGCCAGGAACCATGTAACCATCATTCATTTTCATTCATTCTATATAGAAATTTGATTGTTATATATGGAGATGTTAGCCCTTGTATTAACCACTTAATCCATCTTTAAACGTGCAGTGTAATTAGAAGGTAAAAGAAAAGGAGAGAAAATGAAATCTGAGAACCAGAAATTTCAATGTTTAAGACTATATAAATATTATATTCCTTTTGCCTCTCTGGTACAAATTTATATGTCTGCATTTCATCATCTCAACATCGGAAAGAAGACATAATTAGAAGGAGACATGGGTAGGTAATAAGTACTCTGGTGAAGCAAAAGATACTACTGTCAAATAACTAAAACTGGAATAAAAGAGGTGACACCTCCAGACTTGCACTGATTTAAAGCACTTCAATTGAGTAAAAATGGTATATAAAGGGAAATCCCATGCTATGCTATCTTCCTCTTGAAATTTGTCTATCCCCTCCAAGTCTCCAACCGCCATGGTATATAAAGGATAATGGTTTTTTACTTTCTCTTTTCCTTTTGCCATTGTTCTCAAAAATACTTCCAGGAAGAAGCTAATCTCTGCAACTCTCTGTTGTTCTTTGCTCTGTTCTCAAAAAGTTCTAGTTCGTTGCTTGGGATACATCTCACAAAATCCTGGTAAACATTATAAACCTTGCTGAAATTTCACACCTGGTTATACATCAGGACCCAACACATGCATCTATTGCCCCATTACTTTCAGCTTCTTCTTCTCATTAAAGCTAGGATTATGGACTAAACTTGGACGGCAGCACTGTGTGATTTCAGTGCAAAACCTTGTATTTTTGTTTTTTTTTTTCTTTTTTGGGATTTTAAGCCTATAAAAGATAAAACAGACAATTTATTGTATTTACTGAATCTCCTTTTAGTATCGTGTTTGTCCATAGCTGCTATCCCAACCATAAAAGCAGATTTTGTATTAGTAAAGCATTGATAGATCCGATGCCTCAACTACATGGCATATACTTAGTCCATGTATTTCTATTTTTTTTAGTAAATTAAATCTTTATTGAGTTTAAAAGGGGGTTAAGTGAGGTTGTACAAAAAGAATGTATCAGAAAATAACCAGCCGCTATAGCTACTACATATATCCACAAACTTCATGTATTTAGCCAATAAAAGTTGAGTATCGGGTGTTCAGTTCTGAAAGACTCGGCATATTTTTTGATGTGGGCGCTTTATTGGGAAGACATATCACCGCCAGCAGCAGCAGTAAAGGGAGCAAGATTTGCTGATTCTCATCTTATCTAATTCCAGCTAGATACAATTCTTATCTTATCAGTTCAGTAGGATAGATTAAGGGAGTCTTATCTTATCTTATCAGTTCAGTCTTATCTTATCTTATCTTATCAGTTCAGTCTTATCTTATCTTATCTTATCAGTTCAGTAGGATAGATTAAGGGAGTCTTATCTTATCTTATCAGTTCAGTCTTATCTTATCTTATCAGTTCAGTAGGATAGATTAAGGGAGTCTTATCTTATCTTATCAGTTCAGTAGGATAGATTAAGGGAGTCTTATCTTATCTTATCAATTCAGTCTTATCTTATCTTATCAGTTCAGTAGGATAGATTAGTAGGGAGTCTTCCTAATTAGCAAGGAGTCTTCCTAAAAGTAGGACTCTTATCTCTTGTAATCTCCTATTTAAGGAGCTGATATTATTCAATAAAGGCATCGAAAATTTCAGTCAAGAAAGAGAGCAAGGAGAGTTAGGTGATCTCTTGGACAAATCACCATTAGGGCGCCAAGATAGGTTCATCAAGAGCAGGGAGGAACAAGGGAAAACAGGAGGTTTTCCCCATGGACCGACCCGTGACGAGATCCTATTCTCGGGCCCATAACAATTTGGTATCAGAGCAAGGCGTCATGGGTGACCTTGAGCAGTTGAAGACTAGGGTTCAGGATCTGGAGCTCAAGATCGTGGAAAACAACACGAAGGTGCGCGAGATCAAGGACGACGTCCGAGAATTAAGGCGCTTGATGGAGCTGTACTTTTCCAGCAAGGAAAGGAACCCGGAAGGGGCTGCAACCACAACCGGCCGCCGACCAGACGTGGCAGAATCGTCGGGCGAGCAGTAGGTCGTTGCCCTAGCGTAGGTTAGCAACACCCCGAATGTTCCGATTAAGCAGGAATCCGGTGTTGTCGAGGTGTTGCAGAATCTTGGGATTGCATATCTTCAAGTTGTTGCAGGTGTTGGGGCAAGTGCTGGTGAAGGAGCTTGTATGCCTCATGTTGCGGTTGCAAATGTTGCAAAAGAGTGTTTGTTAGYTGCAGTTAGATCAGATCCTAGGGCTGCACATATCTGGGTGAATCTTGCTAATGCATACTATTGAGCTGGTGATCATAGAAATGTTGGAAAGTGCCTGGAGAAGGCAGCAAAACTGGAGCCTAATTGCATGTCAACTCGATATGCTGTTGTGCTTCATCGTATCAAGGATGCAGAAAGGTCTGCGAATGAAATGGCTTCAATACTCAGAGAAGGGGACTCTGCAACAATTGAGCTTCGGATAGCATGGGCAGGACTTGCCATGGTTCACAAGGCTCAACATGAAATGGAACTGGACATAATGATTTGACGGAAATGGAAGAGCGGGCTCTATACACTCTAAAGCAGGCAATAGAAGAGGATCCAGATGATGCGGTTCAGTGGCACCAGCTTGGCCTTCACAATCTTTGTACTCTACAGTTCAAGACATCTCAGAAGTACCTTAAGGCTGCAGTTGGCCGCGACAAAGAATGCAGCTACGCATGGTCAAATCTTGGTATCTCACTACAGCTGTCTGAGGATGAGCCATCTTCATTGGAATCCGATCCAGGAGGGCAAAATCATTCCACCTATCCGGGATTTCTTTGACTGTGTTTCAAGACACCCATCCTGAATTCGAGCTTGAGGACAAGCTCGTAGTCCAGGAGGGGAGTAATGATGTGGGCGCTTTATTGGGAAGACATATCACCGCCGGCAGCAGCTGTAAAGGGAGCAAGATTTTTTGATTCTCATCTTATCTAATTCTAACTAGATACAGTTCTTATCTTATCAGTTCAGTAGGATAGATTAAGGGAGTCTTATCTTATCTTATCAGTTCAGTCTTATCTTATCAGTTCAGTAGGATAGATTAATGGAGTCTTATCTTATCTTATCAATTCAATAGGATAGATTAGTAGGGAGTCTTCCTAATTAGCAAGGAGTCTTCCTAAAAGTAGGACTCTTATCTCTTGTAATCTTCTATTTAAGGAGCTGATGTTATTCAATAAAGACATCGGAAATTTCAGTCAAGAAAGAGAGCAAGGAGAGTTAGGTCTTGGACAAATCACCATTAGGGCGCCAAGATAGGTTCATCAAGAGTAGGGAGGAACAAGGGAAAACATTTTTCCTCATAATTTTATCACTAAATTAATTTAAAATCATATACAGAAAGACAAAGCAATGGGATAATGGTTGCTATAAAAATAAGAAGATTAATGTTGTCCTTCATTTTACACGTGCTTTTTACAAATGTAATAACAGTCTACCACCATAGACCTAATGCTGTTATTATCTGTTTTACCTACCATATTCAAAATCAAGGAATTTAAAGAAAACTATGGTACAAATATTTGCTGAATCACTTGCAAGGCATGGAGTCCCTAGGGAACAAATGTTTTGGGGTGTAACATTTGGGGGAAGTTTGTAAGAAGATTGAAATGTAAGGGTGTTAAGTAGTGTGGACTAACCTAACAGAGATACTTATATCTTGTACATTATTTTTTCTATGAAAATCAATAAAGCCAACTATTTCCAATAAAAAAACTAGTTTTGAAGATATTCCAGCATATGAAAGAACAACTTGATTTGAACAGAAAGCAGGAAATACTAATAAGAGCAGAATTCCTGGCTATCCACCAAGGTCTAACTTCTAAGAATAAGGAGGGACCTAAACTATCATCCGCTGTTGGTAGAGAGATTCAAAGGTCATAGTGGGATAGCTTTGTGGAAACAACATGGTACCATGGCAGTATTGACATATTGTGAGAGAAATCAAGCACATATCATGAGAAGTGGAAGCCAACTTCACATGGTTCAGCAAACTTGTAATAATTTGGCAGATAGTTTGGCTAAACAAGGGGTAAATATAGCACAGATGTTCCAGGGAGTTGTCCCAAGGGATTTAAATAAGTCCCGAAAACTGAAAAAGAAAGATAATGGGTTAGGTAGCAGAGCTACCCTAAATTTGAGATATGGGATACCTGGATTACCTCTTGTACATACCATTCTTTTCCAACAATTAATAAAAAGTTCCAGTTATTGATAAAAAGCACACTATTAACTATTTGTTGAATTGTATTGCATTTTCACATTTTCCCTTTGGTGAATTTCACACCATCTCTAATTTAAATGATATATTCAACTACTCCTTAAAACTAAAAGATTATTCCTTGGACATGGTTTTGTCTATCATTCGGTCAGATAATTGATTCCAAGAAATTGGTTGCTGCCAAACGTGATTCTGTTTTTGAGAAACATGAATCAAATGATTGTGCCAAACAAGACTGGTGATTCTCAGGATGAAAATTCTTAGAATCTATTCTTTTCTGAAAGGATTATGAGAATGAGAATCTCCAGAATTGATGCCAAACGGGGCCTGACTATCTCGTTTCAGGTCGGGGATTGCAGGTCAAGGTATTATGCAGTGCTTGAGGATCAAACATGCGTCATGGGCTTTTCATACTGCAAATAGATGGCTGATCTCACGAGGCTCCTGTAGTAAGTTGTTTGTTGGAGGTATAGTGCTCCATTCTTCCTGTTTCAACATCAATGGTTGAACTAAATTACACAGTTCTTTGCAGATGTTATGTCTTCGTTTTATCGAATGAGTTCTATAATTTTTTTTTGGATTTCCACTATATAATTAATAAGCATCTATGATTAACATTGGTGCTGCTCCTCGTTGATTTTATCATTTGCATTTCACATTTGTCCAAATTTAATGTTGCTTATATAGTTGAATACATAAAGATGTTAATGCATATTTTGCACAAAACCTCAATTTCATACTCTTATTCATTAATTTTCTTTCCTTTTCCTTTTCTTAGTTTTTTAATGATAACAACAGAGTAAGCTTTTATACATGTTTCGTCTACTGGACTGCTTTGATGGATATTGACAATTTGGCTAGGAAAACGAGAACACCTTTGGTGATTCAGCAATGGATATTCCATAGTGTTGTTGGTGGTTAAAATTTACTTCCGAAAGTCCATGATGCCATTTGTTTTCATCTTTGAATACTTAAGCTCTCCTAGTTCCTTCCAGTCGCATTTGATTCCTGATCTGAGTTTAGGATGTAACTTGACTTCCCTCCCTTTTGAGGTGGAGATCATTAGGTACCTCGTACCTATGGCTTGTGCTTTTTTGTTCCTTTTAGGAATAACAGGACAGAAACTCATCCTTTGCAAAATCAATGCAATAGAACCCATCATCACTTTACAGTGATGCAAAATCCGTAGGAGGATTTTGCACTTGTTGTCTGATCGTATCTGATGGTGTGCGATCTAATAGTTCCTTGCTAGAGGACAACTCAAACGTCGGGCTGATGAGGTCGGCGGGCTGAGCTGCAAGAGAACCGTGTGAAAGTACCTGGAGTGGACACTATGATGCTTAAGTCAACGATGAGTAGAAGAAAGCAAGAGAGCTAGAATGCAAGAGAGTCTGGGTGCACAATCGTGCATACCTTCTGTGGTTGAAGGAGGTGCCTTTTTATATAGGCATGGGTAGTCATTAGGTCTCATGCAGTGGGCACTCCAATGCTTAAGTCAACGATGAGTGGAAGGAAGCAAGAGAGCTAGAATGCAGGAGAGTCTGAGTGCACATTGCGCATACCTTTTGTGGTTGAAAGAGGTGCCTTTGTATAGGCATGGGTAGTTATGGGTCTCACGTAGCGCATTCGAGATCTCCGGAAGGATGTGGCTTATCGGCCCGCCACGCTAGGAGGTGGTTTATGTGGATAGCGATAAGGCTTATCCGATTATCTCCAAAGCGGGCGGTGCAGAAGTTAACTCTATCGGTCAGGTGACGTGATCCTGGAAGACTCAAAGACGATAAGTTGCACGCAACGGAATCCATCGCCACTTCACATAGGTCGCCACCTTGTGCCTCGACCAGGTCGGTGAGTGTCCTTGGCGGGTGGTCGACCCTTCTGCTGAGGCCCCTGGTCTGATCTTGCCAAGGTCGTCGGTTTGCTCCGCCGAGGTTGTTGGCACACACCATCGAGGTGTGTACGTTGCATGAGGCCATGCCTTCCTTGACCCTAGCCAAGGTACCGAGGTGATATTGAGCATCCGAAGTGTGTCCAAGGTGGCTTTGAGGTGATTCCGAGGTGAATCCAACTAATTTGGTAAGTACACGTCATTGCCTACGTGGCGCTGAGGTGTTATGCAATGGTTCAGGAGTGCCACGTGGTGCGATGTCACTGGAGGGCCAAATTACCCCTCATCAATTGCCCCCACTCATGAGTCGAAGTCGGTTCGGTGAAGGGAGTAGCATGTTGTAGATTCTGGCCCAAAGTGGCTTGGTTCAGCTGGTTCGGTGGCAGTGGCCCGATTCTCTCGCCCGAACCGGTCTGATAGGTCATGTTGGGCGTGCAGGCCTCACGTGGCAAATTCAAGTTTTTAATTAGGCACGCTGATGGCTTAGCGGCTTAAAGTAGTGTTAAGAGTTTCAGGACACTTTAAACGTTAATGAACTTTCAGGACACTTTTCTCTTGTTTTCTTCCACTCATTGCTGATTTAGGCATCGGAGTGCCCACCCCGGGTACTCTAACACTTTTCTATTGCAATTTGGCCCACTGACCTCATCAGCCCAACGCCTGAGCTGTCCTCCAGCAAGGAGCTACCTGATCACACACCATCAATATCATTTTCTTAACCTCTAAGAGTTTGTAGGCTATTGAGTAAACATTCTTTCAATGTCTCCAATAAATAAGCTATTGTTTTTGTTCAGAATGTGGACCATGAAATCAATAGACATTTGTATGTGCCTTAAGCCTTAAAAGTTCATTTCTCTGCCTCATGTTTTTGCCAAACCTGTCAATTCATATCATGCTATACTTTGACATTCAAATCTGTCAATGAAACAGACTAGTTATATACTTCATTAGAATTTCTTGAAATAGGTCTTGACACCTTCATCCATATTCAGAGCCACCAAGTGGTTTGCACTTCGAGTGTATGTTTAAACAGGAAGTAGAAGACACCCTCCCCTTGCAGATATCCTTATGGGGTTTGAGTAGGACAAACTCTTCTTGTGCAGAGGGAACTATCAAGACCAGGCAAAAGATTCAATAATAGTGTGTGCTACACAATACAACTGAAGTAAAGGGTTTCTCCCATATGCAGATATCCTTGTTACCTTGTAGCTTCAACAGGACATACTCTTTATGTGGAGGGAATTATCAAGACTGGGTTCTGTTGTGTTCATGGCCATTTTTATTGGGTGAAGTATCAAGACCAGGCAAAAGATTCAATAATAGTGTGTGCTACACAATACAACTGAAGTAAAGGGTTTCTCCCATATGCAGATATCCTTGTTACCTTGTAGCTTCAACAGGACATACTCTTTATGTGGAGGGAATTATCAAGACTGGGTTCTGTTGTGTTCACGGCCATTTTTATTGGGTGAAGTATTGGTTCAGGTGACATTACTTGTGAAACATGAAACAATAAAAAAAGAAAGGAAAGATTTGCATGAGATGTGACTGGGAAATGAGTAAATATATGAATGAAAGCTCCTTCATTTAACACAGACTGCATAGAATGTCATCACTTGGTAATACTTTTTAGCTGATTCATTGCCTGTGGTAGAAATCTTTTCTTGTTTGAAGTCATGTGGAACCTAAACTTCTTGGTTACAAATCCCAGGCATTGACACTGGAGTGTTGCGTAGAACAAATAGGGACCTATCGAGGAGGCAACCTTTAGCTCTGGAGCTTTACTGCCATATTAGGACCATGTGTATAAAATGTCTTTATATGTATCTATGTACATACATGCACAATACAATGTATTGTTTGTTTTGCTATTAACTGGCTGCAAAAGGAAGATATTAGTTTGTGGAAGTTCTCGAATGAAAAAAAAAAAGAAGAAAATTTACCAGCTCACTCAAGACATGCAAATTCAGTTTCAGTGGTCCAAGAGGAGTGCCAATTCTTTCGCAGACTATTTAGCTAAACAAGGAGTGGGAAGAGCTAGTTTCTTTTGGGCTGTGTTGTAATGTGATGTTTTACTTTTAGGGTGGGGTAAGAGATTTTACCCCCCTTCCTGTTGTATCTTCTTCCATCTCCTTTTATTAATAAAAGTTTCTGTTATTGATAAAAAAAATACAATGTATTGTTTGCTGGTGCATATCTAAAGGTTTATTGACCAGAAGCTGGGAGCAACATGGGGTAATCACCTTTTTTATAATATTGACCAAATGCATGCTCTTTCATACACATGACAATTGAATCTTGGCCTAAAATGATGATTGTTGATAACTACAAACACTGGAAATGTTTGAAAATAATTTCTCAACCAGACTTGACATTTCTCATCCAATTCATGCGTTAACCTAAGTTTGTCAATTTACTCTTTGGCCTAGAGTTAGTCCTGACCATCTAGGTTCTTGGGAGGGTGGAATGGATACAGACGTGATCTTTGGCCTTTTTTGTTCTCAAGAAGTGGCTACTCTCAGACTTGAACCTATTTTGAGATTTTACCATTGTACCATTGGAAAGTCCTATTAGCTCTTTTTTCTTTTCCTTTCTTCTGTTGGGAAAACCTGGGGTTCTGCTTAAATCATACAAGGAAATTTAAAAATTCATTTTTCCTCATCTAAGAGACGAAGACCCCCTACAAAAGTTGAAAGGAAAAAAAAAAAAAGAACCCAGCCAACAGCCACTTATAACATTAATGCTTTAGATAATATCAATTTTTTCAGACACTGATGTTACACACCCTACCCCTATTGGGACAGTTTTGGTATACCTCTAATCAAGATGGGCTAGGGACTAGGGTTCAGGTTGTAGAATGACACCTCATAATGGCTTTGGGTTTGGGTCAGGTAATGATGTATACCATCCCTGGAAATTTCAAATCATATATTCCCCATAAATTTTCGTGTATACTCAATTTTATTAATGTTTTTTCGTTTTTCATTTTGCCTAGCTCGGCCCCCATGCCCTGTCACCATCCTGGCCCACTATTCACAGGGTGGGGTGGGTTTGGGTTGGAGTTAAGTCTGGTTGATTTGGATTAAGCATATTGACATGCCCAGGCATAGTTGTCAAGGCGACGCCTAGGTGACAAGGCGCCCTTATGGAGGCTTGCCTCGCCCAGTCACCTATATGGTTTTCATATTACCATATCATTTATTGAATGCTCGTATATATTTATTTCATTTTATTGGCCGGTTTTAGTTTATTAACATACACCCTGTTGTATGTTACACTTTTTGGGTTCTAAACATAGACTGAGAAGAGAGAGAAAAGACTGACGACTCAGAAGACCGAGAAGACAGAGAAGACCAACAGAAGAGTTTCCATTGTTTCAACTGACGATTGAGAAGAGAAGACAAAGAAGACCGATGACTGAGAAGGGTTTTTAAGTCGTCCCGTTTTCCTGTATTCTTTCTTACGTTTTTATAAGAAATATTGTTGGAACAAAACAGGGGCTTTGCTGATGCCCCCACCCCTCCTCCTTGGAATGGTCCTATACTCTTATTTTTTTAGTTCTTTTTTTAAAGACTTTTGGGAACAAGACTGGGGCTCTTCTTCTTCGTCCCCTTATTTTTCTCCTTTTTTGTTGCATTCAACCTTGTTATTGGCCTGAGACAAGGTCTCTGCCCCAGTCCAAGTTCTCCTCTTATTTGTGGATTTTTATTTTTTTATTCTTTTTAAGAAAATCTGTTTTGGGAACAAAACAGAGCCCCCTCATTTTTCTCTTTTCCTTGCTGATTTCCTTTTTTTTTTTTGCCTGATACAGGTTAGTAAACATTGATTTAATATATTTAAATGATGTATTTATGATGGCATTTTTATGTTTTTATATGAAATTTATAGTTAGTTACTCATTTGAATGGTTTTTATTGCTAATAGCTTAGGAGAAGTAGGGATCCTTAGATTTTATGCTTTCAGACTCCATCGCTAGGCATCCACCTAGTCACCTGGGTGCTTGGTTTGTGGTATTTTGTTGTGAGGGAAATGTCAACAGTTTCCTTGGGGGCAGCAAACCTTGAAAGTTGAAATCTCATGGATTGCAAGGTTAGCTAACTCGATGGGCTTCACTATAAGTGGCCTTCTGCTTACCTCTGAGGCTTCAAACTCTGCTACCAATTGCTTTGGATGGGGTGCCTGCCTTTCTATTTCAAATCAACTCAACTAAAATTTGTCCCAACTATATGGGGTTGGATACATGAGTCCTTTTATCTATTCCTCTATAAAGTTCCATACCCATTGTTAGTTATGGGCCCTTAAATCATTCCCTATTACTTCTACCCCTGTCCTCTTTTATCTGCCCAAGCTCTTCCAGACCCTTCAACTTGTAATAGATCATTTGGTCTTACTGGTGCTGTAAATGGTCTTATCTGCATGTGACTAAATTATCATAGTCTACTTTCCCTCATTTCATCACCTATTGAAGCTACTCCTAGGTTACTTTGAATAAGTTTATTCTTAACCCTATTGATCCATTGATCCATCCAACACTTGCATTTCTGCTATGCTCATTTTTTGGACATGTTTCTTAACTGCCCAATACTCAGCTCTATACAACATTGTTGAGCCTTTAGCTGTTTTAAAGATTTTCCTTTCATTTGTAGTGGTATTCACCTATCACATACGACTTGAGATGCACCACTCCATTTTGCTCATTTAAGTTCTTGAGTGATGGCCTTCTTAATGTCTCCCTTATTATAGATCATCAAACCAAGGTAATAAAATAAAATAGGTCACATTAAGATATCTCTTAGGGATTGTTTGTTTGCACTGATTGGGCATTCGAAATCTGAAAAGATGAATTCTCATAGGTCTCAGACCGTTTGGTACAATATCTGAGTCTGAACTCTTAATTTTCAAGATGCCTCTTAGTAGTCAAATAGCCATCCACCTCTTAGTCAGCTAAGAAATGTTTTATAACCTTTTGTTCCAAAAAATATGAGCTCACTCTATGATAGAAATGCTTGTCTTTTACTTAGAACCCTACTTTTCTCACACACCATGGCCTCTCTTTGGTTTCTCTTTATTTGGTGGAGCCAATGCTACAAGCAAACAATGTCCTTCCTATTTTCCCCTTTCTTTTTTCTCTTCATCTAAAAAAAACTCATAAATTCGTAGGGCTAAATATGTAAAACAATCTCTAGGACAGAAAGGCAAGAAAGTAAACTTGGCTATTCAGAGTCTAGTGCCACACAACTTTTGTGCTCTCTCAGACATCATGGTTCAGTTTTACCAAATGCCACCTTAGTCTCCAATTCTAAGTGTCCTTAGTTTTCATTCTTATAATTATTAAATTTATGTGGCATATATTCCGATAAAAAATGTATTAGGCCTACTTATTTTAAAACCTCTTATTTGTAAGGCATTTATTCATAAATCTAATTTTTAATCCTCACTCGTTTATCAATCATCCATGTCATCTGCAAACAACAAAAACCATGGGACCTCCTAGATATGTTTAATCAATTCATCCATGACTAGTGTAAACAAATAAGGGCTAAGTGTTGAGCCTTGGTGAAGTTCAATTGGAACTGGAAGTTCTAATGCCTCTCCCCCAAGTGGTTTTATATTAGTCGTTGCAAAACCATATGATGATTTCTCTTCTCTCTAGATCAATTTGGTTTTCTGATATACTTGTTTCATGTCACAACCCTCCCAAAGTTTCATAGTGTATCTCATGAATTTAATACCATGGTAATTACCAAAAGAAATTGAGAGATTTTCTTTAGAGAGACTGGAAAGAGGGAAAGAAATAACACTTGGTGAACTGGAACAAAATTTGCTGGCCCAAATGCCAAGGGGGCTGGGTGTTAAAAGGGTGAAGAATGTTAACATTGCTCTGCTAGGGAAGTGGTTTTGGAGGTTTGGGGAAAATCAAGGAGGGCTGTGGAAAAGAGTGGTGCAGGCTAAATATGGTGAAGGAATTTGGGGCGGGATCCAGGAGCTTCTAGCCAATCCTACAGTGCTCAGTTTGGAAAGGAATTGAAAAGGCATATAATATGTTTGCAAAAGGAGTGGGATTCAAAATAAGAAATGGAGAATAGGTCAATTTTTGGATGTATGGTGTGGAGATGGTTCTTTTGGCTGAGAGTTTCCCAGTTTTATTTGAAGTTGCAATGGATAAAGAAGTCAAAGTTGCTGACTGCTTGCAGATTCAAGATGGTAATGTGATCTGGGCCCCACAATTCAGGAGGAATTTAAATGATTGGGAAGTGAATGGGTGGCCGGCATTGCTACAGCAGTTGTATAATATGCTGGTGGAGGCTGACAGGTCTGACAGGAAGAGTTTGGAAGTGGGACAAGACTGGAGGTTTCACAGTTATAAGGTTTTGGACAATGTAGAAGGATAATCAATCCCAGTTCACATCATGTGGAGTAAAAATGTGCCTTCAAAATCTTTCTTTGTATGGACTGCTTACCTTAGCAGAATATTCACCAGCGGAAAGGCTTATTGCTAGATTCAGATGGCTGTGTATTGTGGGAAGGACAGCTGGAAACAGTGAATCATCTCTCGCTGCACTGCAGTTTCTCTCATGGGATTTGGAGCAGCATTTCAGGTTTATTTGAAGTACAAAATTGCTGCCCAGGATCAATTGAGGAGTTGGTATGAGGTTTGAGGGTGGAAGGGCTAGTAAAAGAGGAAAGCTCCCAGCAGTGGTATCTTGGTATCTTTGGCAAGAGAGGAAAGCTAGGGTCTTCAAAAACAAGTCTAGTTCTGCTGATGCTATTTATCAAAAAAAAAATGGAAAAGATGTTTTCATGGTTGGCTAGTCATAGGTTGTTTAAGGGTGTAGGTTTTGAGTTTTTTGTACATGACAATCTTTTTGTAAAGCAGGGTGGGGTGTCAAGGTCAGAGGGGACAGCTTTTTAGGGTCCCTGAGTATATCATCTTGCTGTACTTTCTGTTCATGTTAATACATTTATACTTTACCTTCTCTTAAAAAATCCCATGATAATTACTACAACTTCGTATATCACCTTTCACACTTTCCATTTCCTTCTATCTTAATAAAATGTGCATCTATTGTTAACAAAGGTTAGCAATTTTCCTTGATCTTTTTTGTTAGTCCTAAACTGAGATTTTGAAGACTATACATTAAGAGTGAATTATAGTTATTTTCCTTGATAAAATGTACTTCTATTTATCAAGCAGTTTTCCTTGATCTTTTCCACATTTCATCTTTTTGGTTTTTATTTATCTAAGTTCTTTTGTAAATTATAGTTATTTCTTGAGTTGCAGGCCTTTCTTACGATACCAATGAAAGTGTCCTGAAGGATGCTTTTGAGAAGTTTGGTGAAATCATTCAAGGTATTTTGAACAGGATCTGAACAGTCTCCGTTTTCTTCAGGTTCTTGATCAGCACAGAAAGTATTTAAGTAAAACATTTTCACATTTTGCAGTTAAAGTCATATGCAATCATAGGACTGCAAAATCTGAAGGGTATGGATTTGTGCACTTTGCTTCAGATGCCGCAGCAAGCATAGCACTTCAAAAGATGGATGGCCAGGTAAAAATTTAAATTATTATGTATCTGTTATATGTCCGATTACCTTGCTTCAAAGCCTTCAATTAACCATTTGATTTCATGCTTTCTCCCAGTTACTGGATGGCAGAAACATTCGTGTCCAGTATGCAAATAAGGGGCGTTGAGCAGGATAAGGCATTGCGGTCTCTGAATCACATCCACTTACATGAAGGCAATTTTTTTAGAACCATTTTGGTAGTTCTTGTATTAATGACCTGAACCATCCGATGAAATTGAGACCATTTGGATAAAGATTGTAGAGGTTCCTAAACAAGAATGAGATACACAAGTTGAGACAATAGTATGATATGCTGTGTTATTTGAAAGGTTCATATATAAATTTCATAATGCAAATTGGAAGTGTTATTGTGATATTTCCCTATCATATCTATACCATGCACTTCTATCCCCATTGATTTTTGTATGCCAAAAAATACTCATCGTCTGTGTTGTTCGAAGAAGCTCAAAAGGTCACATTCAAAGTTCAAAGTATCGATATGTATGGGCCGATACGTATCATGCCGATGGCTTCTTGATACACCCCTCCAGGGACTGTATCGGGTCAGACTGGTTCAGAGGGTAGCCGGGTCTTAAACCCTTCTGAACTGGTTTCAAAAAAAATAAATAAAACCTAAAAAAAATGTACCGATACAGCTTGGTCACATTTCATGATCTTGAATTTGGCTCGATCCACTTCCTACTTTTTTATTTTTGGTGTAGGGGCAGCCTTCAAATCCCATTTGTAAACTTCAGGGGATAGGGGTTGTCAAAAAAAAGAGAGTAATCTCAGGATTGTTTATACGCATGACAATGGCATGCTCTCAATTTTTTTAGCATCGAGAATTGGTATATGTTTATTTTCTCGCATCATAGTTGGGTCTGGCTAGCTCTTCTGGTTGCTTGAAGTCCATGCAGTGTTGCGACTCCTTTAAAAGATCCCAGTAATCGACAGGATGCAAATCAGATAACAGACTCGAAGATTGACCCTCTTGACCTTCTATTACTTCTTTTAGACTGGACATTTGGCGCTCTTCTTTGGTTAGGATGCAAATTGATGTGTCCTCTTTAAATGGAATCACTAATCGATTTCTGTTTTCCAATTTGCCTAACCCAAATTTAATAAGCGAGCTGTCAACCCTCTCTAACACTACCCTCAAAAGTGTTGCGACTGCCTTGAACAACCAAAAGTGAGCCATACAAAAAATGCGGCCTCAGTCCAAGGAAAACATTTTCTGCTTCTAGTTCAGCATTTATACGGTTTTACCACCCACAGGAAAAAAATTAAAAACAGTTTATGATCATTGATCAATCAGTGAATAGGCACGCATACATTCCCATAAAGAACAACAAACTTGAAACTAAAACACCTCTCTCAGCTAGGCACGGGATAATGGGATACTAATTAAAATTACCTGTATGGCTATATCTAAGACAAAAAAAAAGGCATACTTTCTTGTATTGTCAAATTTGAATTGTTAGTATTAACCAACCACATATGCTACTGTTTGGGAATTGGGACCACGAAATAAAACCAACGCATGCATGGAGACCAGAAATCTGTTATGAACCACCAAAAGAGCCGAATGGAGGGAAGCATATCTTGGAGACAAAGTGGCTTTACCACCACAACTTAACAAAATGAGATATGAGTCACCATTAGGAGGTAGCCTTCTTCTCTTTATGTGTTGAAGTCTTTGCAACCTCCACGAATATCAATCTGCCATCTACCATCTGTCATAATATCAACACAAACTTTCATAACAAACAGACAGATGAATAAAATGTATAAATCCTCCATTTTATTTAGCTTCACAGCATTTGGGAGTAATATGTAATTTTCTTAAATATTTAAATGCACCAAGTTTTTATCACCATCTTGATCAACATTTTGACAGTTGAAAATGCAATGCAGAGATTCTTTACACTAAACAACTTTTTTACTTCATGTATCAGCCATAATGTTAATTCCACCAGTGTGAGCTTGTCTTACACTGCCAGTCCTAATTCCGGATTAAGGAGGGTTGCATCAGGTTCGCTGCTGGCACTAAAGCTTTGGCCAAACTCTTATGATCATGGATCCTGATTTACCTGTTTTGTGATAGCATTACATAGAAAGGAATGGTGAAAGAGGATTCATGTGGTTGACCCATATAGTTCGGAAGGCTTGGATGATGATGATATCAGCCATAATATTCTTAGGGTTCCAAAGAAATCCTCAGACAAACAAAAGTTATGTAGCACCAAGCAGAACACTGGTGCAAAGTGAGCTATTACTATCGGGTGCACAAGTAGAAAACCAAGCAAGCATGGTAAGCTATGTAGCATCAAGAAGACAAGAAAAAATGTACTGAACTAAAAGAAATGTAAGTTGATTCCCAGGTATTAACACTACAATCTTTTAAAGCAACTTGAAGTATTTTAGAGTATTTAAAGGACAAGGGAAAATATCCACTCATTACTACAATTTACAAATTAAAAATTCCATGTAGGGCACATACTATCCATCCTTAGTTTGTTGGTTCTAGCTTTAAAAGAACTTTGTGGCATTTCTCCTGCTGATACGAAAAAGAACCTAGAAGAAATTTTAAAGCCACTCCATGGCTAATTTTATAGGGCCTCTATCCTCCATCCCGTACAAAGTGAAATCAAGTTACTTTTTATGGGGCACCCCAAAGCAAACCAGGTCCCTCAGTAATCAGAATGCTGTTATTCGGATTGAATGGAAACATGTTTTGAGCCTAAAATGGCTTTATTGGAAGCACAGATTCTACCGAGGCCAAAGTCCTTGCCCTCCTCATGAATGGCTGTGTAAACTAACATCACATCTCATCTCATGGAAAGTGATGGGAGACAAAGTGTGCCTAGAAGGCTAGAATACCAGGAAGTATTCTTTATTTTCTTAAAGAAATTAAAGAAACCTAAGTTTCCATTTTCACTGAAACTAGATGGATTCATAGACATACGAAATATTGAACACAGTGGACAGCTTAGCTGGATATGGGGCAGAAACTAGAAAAGGCATTTTCTGCAATGCAATGGCATTTTACCTGCTTTTTTCCTGTTAGAGTATTGCATATTTTCATATATTAATACAATTTTCATATCCTTTCTGAAAACAGGAAAAAAAAAACATCAATACCTTAATGACCAAGCTATTGAACACCCTAAACAAAACAATCAACTAGACTAAAACTCTTTTGCCTCATATGACACTGCTCTCACTAAAAAGACAAGTTCAATTTTTTTTAGGGTGATAATGAATAGAATACCTAATACCAATAAAAAAATAAAATGCCCATTACCCTTCAAAACGATTCCTCTTGTCAATACGATGTTGTTAAACTTTATACCCATTAAGAACTAATACAATGTGTTCTCTCATCCAAATGCTCATTAGAATGGTAATAGCCTTTTTCTGAGAAAAGTTAACTGAATTTCATTGAAACAAGCGAGAGGTAAACAAGGAGGTGTACAAAGTAAACAGTTTAAGACCCCTAAGGTTACACAGGAGGAATCCTTCCACAGTAGGAGACCTCTAAATGAGCACCTAGTTTTGCTAAGCTATCTGCAATAACTTGGAAACCAGTACAGATTTACATTCATAGAAGCCAATCAATCCCTTGCCTCTGCTAGAAAGTGGCTGAGTCTCCAAGGTCCAGCCTCCTGCTTTCCTAACCATTTTATAGTGTTTGCAGAATCGCCTTCAATGTAGCCATCACTTCTGCCTTGGTAGAATCAGCTATACCAATCACTCCACTGTACCCCCTTTCATTTCTCAAAGCTCTTCCAATGCCAGCTACACCAGGGTTACCTGATGTACTTCCATCCCCCATCAGAAAATACTTTTGCTTATACCAAATGTCAAATGAAATTGCAACAGAGAATGGAAAATGAAAATCCATCCATCAATGAGAAATAAATTGTAGTAGTACAACAAGATTGCATCAGAATCACAAAAGACCCAAAAAATCTTCTCAAAACTCAAAAAGTGTTCAAAAGCAGGACAAAAAATACTAATCAACCTATCTGACTAGACGAATAGGATGCTGTTATCAAAATATTGACAGTGGGAATTCTTCTGAAGAGATCTGTGACTGACAACCAGGAATGAATCGAAGATATAACCTGTTGGGCCACCTATCCAAACGACCAAACCCCAACTCTCCCTTTCAAAAGTCCTATTCCTCTCCTTCCACAGGCCCCAACATATAGCATGGGGGGTTGTGCCCCATAAGATCTTCCTTCTTTGGTTTAACCTGGCAGCTTCCAGGACTGCAAGAGCTCAAGCAAACACCTTGGATGACACCAGCTTCCAGGACTACATGGCAGTGCAGGAAAAGATGATCAATGGACTCCACTCCCTGACCACACATCACACACTCCAAAGAGTTCAGAGACATTCCCCTTCTTGCTAGCTGAACCTTTGATAGGCACTTGCCATTCACAGCTGCCCACATGAAGAAGTCAATCTTGGAAGGAATATGTGAAACCTCCTTCCAAGGAAAACCCAGAGGGGGTACAAATAGGGTTGCACAATTTGAAGGATTTCAACTACAATATGTTTGGTTCGGGCTCATCCAAAATTTAATAAGTACTCAACCCAACCTGATCCAAGTTGCATCCTAGAATTAGTGTTTCCTCTAGTTTAACAGCTTTACAAGTCAAGACACCAGGGATATGGACCATATGGTGGTCAATCTGAAAGTCAATAGCATAAGTGATCACTTTTTTATGCCATGCGAAACAAAACAATGTAATATTAATTCTAACATCAGCTGAACCTGCAATATCCTGATTCAAAATGTGTCTTTACATTTTGGAGAAGGAATTAAAATGAATTCATTCCTTAAAATACTAAAATGATACTGTTTCTATCTTTTCTCAACAACTAGCATTGGCACCCCTTCAGATGGTGAACTTGTCACTCAAAAGCAATGGAAAACCATAGTGGAATCATTTTATACAAGATGCTCACCTAATTTCCCAAGGAGAATATTTGGAGCAATGTAGAATGGAACATTACTTCGAAGAAGGGCAGTCTTGAGGTGAATGGGTTTCTCGCTAGTACCTCAAGCACAGCAATTTGTGGGAATTGAAATTTAAGGGTAATGTCTCATGGGAGAAAAATGTACTTTTAAAGCATAGTTTTAAAAAGGTAATGAGGTGTATGCCAAATGTAAGTTTTGGCCAAACTGCCTTGACTCGATAGCTCCATACTTTATATGAGGCTCACGCTTCTAGTTAAAGGCATGAAGATGGGCCTTGGTGCAACAGTTGGGTTGCTCCATTGCGACCTGGGTGAGCAACATTCAAATCTTGGAAACAGCCTCTCTTAGTATCAGCAGGGGTAAGGCTGCACACATCTGTCCCTCCCTAGACCCCTGCATTGGTGGGAGCCTCATGCACTGGTCAACTGAAAAATGGAAAAAATAATAATAATAAAACATGTCAACATAAATCTTTCCCCGAGTTTAAGTAAACTTAGTAATTCAGTTATATAATCTTGCTTTATAATTAGTTATCAATAAAATGAAACGAACTCAAAAATCTCTCTTAACCCAAAAGTATCTCCTCATTTTTCTCCCATTCTCTTACTCCATGTCCCAATCTACCATTCCAGGTGAGTATAACATTTCCACTACTGCATTTTGATAGAAGCAGTATTGGTAACCCAGGGCCCTTGGGTATTGGGAGTATTTTAAGGGATGAGGAAGGGAAAATAATTGCCTTGTTCTCAGGTCCAATTGAAGCAGGTGACTCCCTTAGAGCTAAGATGTTGGTGGCATTGGAAGGTATACGGAGACCAAAAGAGTTAAATATTGTTTTTTTTTTTTTTGAAAAGGTAAAGTATTGTATTAAGTATCAAACAGTATAAAGATCTGTACAAGAGGCTAAGGAGTTAAATATAATGAAGCTGATTATAGAAGGATACTCCAAACTGGTGGGGTGCTGGTTGAAAGAAGACAAAAATGCTCTGTGGACTTACAGCAATGAAAAGAAAAAAATTAAGTGCCTGACAAAAGACATGGAAGTAAAAGTGAATTGGGTTAAGAGATGTGCCAACTCTTTTGTTGATGGTTTAGCAAAACAGGGGGTGAACAGGGATGCTTTGCTTTGGGCTCAATTGTAATTCTTTTTCTGTTTTGTCTGTTTCTTGTCGGGGGAGATAAGAGAGATCAGCTCTTCCCATTGTATCCTTAATTTTCTTCAATGAAATCTTCTGTTATTGATCAGAAATATATATATATATTTATATATTTATATATTTCCACTACCGTGTTCAAGCATGGTATGTGGAAATAGGACCCACTGATGCATGAACTAAAAATAATGGTAATATTTCTTTGAATAAAAATTAATAAAGAAAGAAAAGAGGAAATATCAATATAGTGAAACAAATTTGAATAAAATTAACAACAATGAACAAATGTTATTTAAAAATATTTAAGAAATATTAGAGAATGCACATAAATCAAGAAAACAAGTCATTTCATTTATTTAGAGAAGGTTATAAATCTAAAAGAAAATACAAAATAAAATTTTGAAAAGCTATGTTTCTTATTAATAAAACAAATTTTATCCTGAAATGTACAAAAAAGTACAGATAAATTTACTTGGACATCAAATGCATGTATGCATGTGCTGCAAAGTAGGCTCTAAAAGCAAGCTAGCTTAAGATATGCAAAGAATTGAGATGTGGGATATTAGACATGAATGGAATATAAGTAACCAAAATTCTGATTTTATGGCTTCCTTTTGTAAAAGCAAAAGGGGTGTGCTTTTGCATGTAATTAGATACCAGGGCCCCTATCTTATTGAGGATGATGTTATAAGCAAGGTTCAAAATTTTGATACACTCTGATACAGTGCAAGGGGTGTATCAGTACTTTGAACCTTGTGGCCACCCATTTTTTTTAGTTTTTTTTTTAAAAAATAGGTCAGTAGGTAGGTCTTTAGGCCTGTCTACCCCCTGAAATAGGTCAAAACCCCGAAAAACTAGTATTTTATGTATCAGTGACCCACCGACACGTGACGAAATCTTTAACCTTGGTTATAAGATGGAATTGTCAATAACTGTAACTGTTTTCATTTTCGTTTATAAATCTGGTTGTGATCTGTCTCAAATCCAAGTTACCCATGAGGAAATTATTTCAAACTTGGTCATATGATAGTAGGGGTGACCATGAGCCAAGCTATTCACGAGCTGCTCGAGCTCGGCTTGGTTTCAACCAAGCTTCGAGTCAAGCTCGAGCCTAATAGAGATCGGCTCGTGAGCCTCACGAGCCGAGCTCGAATATAATATATATATACCTCACGAGCCGAGCTCAAATATATATATATTATAATTCTTAATTTTTTAAATATCAAATAAAAAATATTTATATATTTTTTATTTTTATAAAACATTTTTTTCTGAAATCGAGCTTGAGCCTCCTACTATTCGGCTCGGCTCGAATCCACCCCTATATGATAGTATACCTTGAAACTATTAGTCATAAAAAAATCTCACAAATATTCAAATTACATCCATGACATGACAATTATTGTAACAACATCTGGTAGACTGCTCAAGAAAGATCTTAGGCAGCTTATTATCAAATTGCATTGTTCTTATATGTCCCTTGGAAATTATTTAAACCTCAAAGTTTTTACTTGATTTCATCATTAGAGGTAGCAAGCTATTGCCTCCCCTGCTTTCCAAACATAGACAGGGATAGAGGTGTTTTATGGAGGTGATTGACACATATTCCAGTCCTATTGAGAATGGCGGATATTCCTAGGAATCACAGATTAAACTCAACATGGTGGATATTCCTAGGAATCACAGATTAAACTCAACATGGTGGATATTCCTAGGAATCACAGGTCCATTGGGAATTTATTGTGCTTTTAAATAACCTGTGAGGGAGGTGATTGACACATATTCCAGTCTTATTGAGAATGCAGCACGCAACAGCCATAAGAGCAAAGATTTTCTCTCCTATGGGGTATGGAGGGAGTGGAGGTTGAGGGAGACTAGCTTGGATACTTCAATATTTAGTTAGGGAAGGAAGACCCTTGGCAGTCGTGATGAGCAATTTGTTCAGAAAGGTTCCAGGCTTCCAGCACTGAATTCTGCATCAGATGCTTGGTAAGGAATGGAGTGAAATTTACAGTTGAGTGGATTATCTCAAGGATCAAAATTTGATACGTTATGCCCCGTATCAGGCGTGTCATATCATGTCTTTTGGGTTCCGAATCCTACCAAAAACCAAATTTTGAAAAAAAAAAACACCAAAAAATATATAATAGCGCAAGGTTTTTGGTAAAGATACGCCTCTGCCGATACACAAGGGCATATCGATACTTTGAACCTTGGATTATCTTAAGTGGCTGTTTTTGGTCTGCTATCATGGTTCTTCCTCTCACAACTAGTTAAAGAAGGTTACTTGTACCCTAGGATATGATATTGCAACTAAGAAAAAAAAAAAGGAAGCCACTGACAACATCAACTACTGATGATTCTCTGATCAGCTATCTGTCTCTTTTCCTTTAATACTAGTTTGGAGAAGATGCCAATGAACACCCATTCATCATCTAAGCCCTATCCCAACCATATGGGGTCAGCTACATGAATCACGTTTTGACATTCCATTCTGTTTGGTGCCAATGAATAATAGTTAAATTATGAGTGCTTAAATCATTTCTTACTACTTCAACCCAAGTCCTTTTTGGTGCCAACGATCCACCTCTAGACAAAAATTATGTAGTGGTAAGCCTATACCAATTCTGTATATATTTTGTCTGGACATCTTTCTGACTTATCCTGGGCTATTCATTGGTTTCAAGTAGTTCATTAAGTTATAGAACAGATTCTTAGCACTTCCAGAAACAATTGTGTGAAAAGGGAAACGTGATACATTATAACCAACAAATAGTCTGGAAGAAGTTACAGAGAAATTTTTTATTGTCAATAAAATACCAAGGGAGAGTACGGTATATTGGTAGTACCCTGCCATTCATAGCCTTCAATGCCTTCTGTGCTTCATTTTCAGATTCATATGTCACAAAACCAAACCCTTTAGGCCTTTGAGTTCTAGGGTCCTTTACCAGTCTTGCTGCATAACAACCAATGAAGGAAAAGATAACAGTAATAACAATGAAGCACCCAAAAGGGAAAACATGATTGTCATCAATGCTACTATAATAAGCATACTTTTTACATGATTAAACTAAACCTAAAGGGTAAAGAAAGAGTTTGAAAGAAAATGTTTTCAGAAAAAGGATACCTTCTTTCACAATACCAAAGGATGAAAATAACTTCTTCAATTCTTTATCCGTAGTGTATGATGACAATCCTAGAAGACAGAGTAAATGAAGAATAAGGAGATCCCAAGAATATGGTGAAGTCTGAAAAGATTATATAGTAAATATAAAGAAGATGCTGAAGCACGCCGGACATAACAACTTTTTTTTAGGTAAACGTACACATAGCAATAATTGATTTTAAGCTCATTGTGCAAAACAGTAGTGTTTTCAGAAAGGAAAGAATTAAGGGGAGAGCAAGAAGAACAGAGAGAAATAGAAAATGAAGAACTAGGGCTCGAAAGTGATACAGAACATACTGCTGACGAAGAGCTGGGAGCTGAATTTCCTGCTTGAAACGTTGAAACATTGAAACCAGGGAGTTGGGATCATATTCTTTACTAAGAGGGATGCCATCATCGTGGAGAACTAGAAATTAAGAACAGCCTTGTCCCTGATGAATACTCTTCTCCCCAAAATGTTTTTCAACTCCGGAGAGAGATAACCTTCTTGAAAACGACTAGATGATGCGAGTCAGCTTCTATTCATACGATGAACAGTGTTGAAAAAGCAGACACAATAGGCTAAGGAAGCTGTTGGGTCTTCTTACCTGTTAATGCCTTTCAATAAACAACGAAGAGTAGCAAAAAATCCCTATAGGCTCTAAGACCCAGACCGTTCTCCACAGTCCGGTCCAAGGCCCAGACCGTTCTCCACAGTGGTGTAGAACTCGAAACACGGAGAGAAGATACCATACCAGTTACCAGTAGCCAGTATTAGGCTATTAGGTGAGTCTATTTGGTGTGCCCGAAACTATCCAGGGCTCCGGCACCCTGAGATCCTCATCCTCTCTCAAGAGTAGAGTCGGGTCCCAATTTTTTAAGTACGGGTACCGGACCACAAGCCTACGAAACCCTACGAAGTGCCCACGATTTTACATTTTTTGTTGATAGAATGTTAACAGCAATGAACAATTTTGTCCTCGTAGACAGACGTGGGCTTAGCTAGAGTGCCCACTGGATCCGGACTCGTGACCCACCGAATTTTATCGGACGCCGCCAGAGAAACCAACCCAACGAATTAGACTCCGGATTTTCCTACCCATTTTTTCATCTATTCTGTGAGGTGCTTCACTGCACATGCTAAAGTCGTGTGCATGTGAGGATACACATCTGCGCCCCACCTCACATGCACATCTCGCTGCATAGTAATTACTAAAATATTATTATGTATTATTGCACAAAACGAAAATGGAAGCTCAAGAGCCTAAAATGGTGGAGAAATCACAGGAGATGGAACAGATTCTACCCTAAAATTTACAGTAACAAATGGATGTCAGTGATCCAGGAGAACGGCTAATCAAAAACAATCAGAACAAAAGTAAACCGTAACCACAGATTACATTGAAACACTAGAAAATTCGTAAACAATTACATGGTTTTGAGTTTTGACCTACGATTATCTGACTAAAAAGGGAGGGAAAAAGAAGGAAGAAATTAAATCTGTCTTCAAGAACTGGTAAATTTGGTGACAGCCTTTGTGCCCTCGGAGACGGCATGCTTAGCCAATTCACCGGGAAGAACGAGACGAACGGCGGTCTGGATCTCCCGAGAGGTGATTGTTGGCTTCTTGTTGTAACGAGCCAGCCTCGAGGCCTCCTGTGCGAGCTTCTCGAATATGTCATTGATGAAACTGTTCATGATGCCCATGGCCTTACTCGAGATCCCGATATCCGGGTGCACCTGCTTCAACACCTTGAATATGTAGATCTTGTACGTCTCACTGTTCTTCTTCGTTTTCTTCTTCTTTTTCTTATCTCCAGCGGCGGCACCATCCTTCGGCAGCCTCTTCTCCGCCTTGGGCTTCTTCTCGGCCGGGGCTTTCTCCGCTACGGTCTTCTTCTCTTCTGCCGGCTTCTTCTCGGCGGGCTTCTTCTCGGCCTTCGGTGCCATCGTAGGAAAATTGGGCCGATAAGAAACGAGGGATGACTAAACTCTTAAACGTCAAGTGGGGATATTGAGGGGCTTCGCGGTAGTCCGGTGAGGGACGCAAAGTGGTGGACGAAAGACTTTATACAAGAGGAGGAAGTATTTTATTGGAAGATGAACTTTCACACGGATCGCTGACCTGGCACGATCCCTGTCCAACGAATTCCCCTTTTGTACTAGGATTGTTAACGAACGGCTTAGATGTGATAAACTACTATGATACTATCTACTATCTTAATCCTAATTCCTAATCCTATGGGTGATGTCCGAATCACCTAGGAGCTTTGCATCTTTTTCTGCTTTGGCGGCAAACAAATTATTTAAAATTAGGGGTTATTATGAAAAACTCCCCTTAAATTTTTCATTTCTCTCTTAAACTTACCTTTAAGGCTTTAACTTCTCAAAATCTCCAAAGACCTTTATCAAAGAATTTTGTTATCTATAACGTCATTAATTATTTTTAATTATTAAATTAACCCTGATAATATATTAAATGAAATAATTGTTTTAAAAAGAAAATAAGTAAAAAATATCTCTTTATTATATTCTTCCAATCCAAATGCCCCAAGACTTTGGATGAAACACCAAATTCTTATATGGAAAGGTAGCATAACAAATTTCATCATCATACAATTTTCATTCATAGCAACTCAAAGTAAGGGTAGTGTAATAAATCCATTTAAGAAAATAAAACAAGGAATAAACATATAGTGTGTGTGTGTATACAAAAGTCGTGCTTGGGCTGAAAAACATGCATCACAAAGCAATATGGTATGTTATGGACCTTGGATCCCCTAAAAGCAAAAACTTTGCACATAGCATCCGTCCAATTGTACAAAGGTGGGGCCAGGATTTTTCTTGGGGAGGGGGGGAGGAGGGGGGACGAGAAGGTTCAAAGTATCGATACGATACGCCCTGTATTGGGCATATCGTATTATATCTTTTGGTCTTGATACACCTATTTACAGGTGTTTCGGGACCCTCGTTTATTTCAATAAAAAACATTTAAAATATCTTTAAAAATAAAAAATTGAAAAAAAAAACCCTTTGAATGGGTATTTTTTAGTACCGATACGCCCCTGCCAATACACAGGGGCACATCGATACTTTGAACCATGAGAAGCTAATAAGCATGGAGTAGGGGGCAATAGTTAACAAATATTGATGGGGACTAAAATAGATGTTTCCAATGTGCCATTGGATTCTCATGCAACCATATTTTTAGAGTGTGTGCAAAGTTTTTGCTTATAGGAAATCTCATTGCTATAATATGTAATTACATGTTCAACTGAAAGAGGGAGGAGAAACCATATAACATTTTCTTTTGATAATTACCATATAACAATTCAAGTACATAATAGAACAACCTTTGCAATTCGAAGAATAGCCTTATTGACTTTCACAAAAGTGAGTAGTTTGATTTGGCCTCATTCATTTTTTGGATAGCTATTTTACCTTGGTAATATCACTTTATGGGGGCAAGTGAACTTACTTTTAGTTGTGTAAGTTTGTTTCTTACGTAAACTTTACAGTTACTCGTCTATTTATAAAAAATACATTATTAAAATGGATAAATTTGTCAGTTGATGACGAGTGATAAGGTAGTGGTGGTGCTGATTTGACCTCAAAAGCAGTTAATGGAAACATGGGTGATTGAACCGTTTGTATTGTTAACTAGCATCAATTCTATTAGGGATGCCAACGGATTAGATGCAGTTGTATTTGCATCTGCATCAGATTATAAAACCTCTATATCAATTCTATTATGGCTGTCATGTTAAATTCAGATTTAATCTGAAGCTCTTATTTAAAATGACCAAAAAACAAAGAAGTAATGAAAAGCCCTAATTATTTTTAACTAATAAATGTAAGATATTTATTTACCAAAAAATATAAGATATAAATTTATAAATTACAAACTTGATATAATTATACACGATCTACATATAATCATACTACATCATCATCATCATCATTATTGGTGATACACACCACTAATAAACCCCCTCCCAAAATTCAATAGTTGTGGGAATTGAATCCACGTCCTTGATGGAACAAACCAGTTAACATATCAACTTAACCACTCCCTCTGTCATCATCATCCATGCTTATTGAAACTACATTTATGCATATATTATATATTACATATAAATAAAATAATAATGTTTTATCGGATTCGATTTTTTAATCGTATCAAACAGGGTTAAATTTACATCCAATTCAATTATTAATAGGATGCAAATTATAACATCTAAATCCATGATAACCTAATTCAAAGTCGAATCAGGTATTGAACTTTTGGAATCCATTAACAGCCTTTAATTCATTCCAAACCTGAAATTAATTAAAATTCATTAAATTAATCAAAAAACCATTGACATGAACAACTGAACCATTGACCCATTTGACCCAACCAACAAGTCACTGGGGTATAAATTAATACTTTTGAAAACCATAACTATGTTTGGTGGTCAGGGGCTGAAGGCTCTTTTCCACTATTTTTGCCTAAAAAACTTCCTTGGCCTTAAATCCTATTTTTTAGCTTCCTTAATATATAAAAAATAAAAATAAAATATAAATATAAGTTACACCTAAAACAACACAGGCACATTCCACAAATAACATACATACATGCTTATATAACGGGACAGATGCATGCATAGTGTTTTGAGTATTTTTGCCTCTCTGTATCAAGAATCAAGGATTTGAAACACCCTGCTGCTCATTGTATTTCAATTTTCAATTGAACCACCAAATGACTGTCACTGTCACCTTAGATTTTTAAGATAAACATGCATTTGAAACATACCAGAGCACCGCTGCCAAGATCAATACCTTTAGTTCTCTTCTTACTTTAATATTTTTATGATTTTCCCCCTTCTGAATGAAAGACAGCCACAACACACTCATATAGCTCTGCACTTGCGACAACTCATTTAAATTTATACTCTTGAGAGACCTCTAGAGCTATGACAGAGAGAGACATCTAAAAACCATGGTTTCAAAACCGGACCGGACCGGAAAACCGGAAACAATCACCTGACTGTTTCCCATTTTCCCCAAAATTACTTTTTGACCAAAAACTATTGATTTGGTTAGTAAACTGCTGATCCGGGCGGTCAAACCATCAAGCCGTTTGACCCGAGAATGATGTTTGGCTGTTTTGGGGGTTTTTTAAATTTTTAAATTTTTTATTTTTTTTGTCACAGCGGCTCATCCATTCGGACCAGATGGTCAGACCGTTTGACCTGGGAACAAGACCCAGAACGGTTCATGTCCGGTCCGGTTTTAAAAACCTTTGCTAAAAACAAAGTATAACAAAGACCATAAAATATAAACAAATACAGTCTCCTCTTCAGAGATCGGACCCTGGTCTTCTTGGCAGTCCAACGCATTACGAGTCTCCCCAACTAAAATCTGGAAATTTCAAAAAAGTGGAAAAACAAAGGCAATGTTCATACATAAGTAAACATTTTATGGCAGAAAAATAACATAATTATAATAATCAACTCTCTGCATTACAATTTGGCAACTTGCATGCCTGCATTTGTGAGTGTGTAGAAAGGAAGAGAACATAAATAAAGCCCAGATAGGACCCAAATTTGATTGTTCTGATAACTAATTGGTTAGATTCATCAACTGACATAGCTCTCAGGTTTAATGGTGAAATGTGTGCAACAACTTTTCTATTTAAAAAAAAAAAGAAAGAAACGTGTGCAACTTACGATGAAACCTAGGGATGTCAATGGACCGGGCTAATCAGGTAATCCATCTCACCGCTATCGTGATACATTTAATATTTGGGATGCCCCTAAGTGGGTTAGGGATGGCTTTGGTTTGTGGAATGCCTGCAGTTATGGTGTTTACTGTTTACCATCCTGAGACAGGCAACAACCAGGCAGCCTGCAGGAGGATGTTGGATTCAAATAGGCTACAGAAGACAACTGTAGAACTAGGTTAGCAATATTATTATGGACAGTAATAATCACCCCTCTTCTGATATGCTGGAATTTAACTCCTGGAATTTGTACCAGAGTGCCTGGAATCACTGAATATGATTCCTGAGGTCAACTTTAGTATAAGAAAACATTGTCCAAGTTATATTTCATTATTATGGATACTATCCTTACTGCAGAGCATACAAGGCACAAAGAAACATCCGGGATTGACTCCCCACCCTAGGAAAAACAGATAATTGCATAGCAGAACTGCAAGCTAGCATTGCCAGCATGGCTTACCTGATGTTCTCAGTCACAGTTAACAGGGGTCTTGGGAGGGATGGGATTTGATATTATCCTAACCTTCATTTTCTTCCGCAAAGTGGCCACCCTCAGAATCTTAAAAAAAAAAGAGGCCGCCCTCAGATTCAAACTAGTGTTCTTATGCTTGTCAGTCAAGTATACCATTGCACCAAACAATGGCCCCTTTTCAAGAACTAGATTGTGACCACAAAATTCCAACCTCCATATTACACTGGGAAAAGTAAAGCATAAGGACAACCTTTTCAAGTATAGCCATTGCCTTGTAAAGTTGAAAACATCCATGACTTTACATGTGTTTGGGTGATAATGATAAGGTTTACAGCGTAGCAGAATTACAAAAGAAATATCATTTGATATTTGAAAAGTTTAAATCCAAGGGCTTCTTAATTAAGAAAATACAAAAAAGCGACTTTAAGAGGAAGATATTGTTAACAGCTATCCTTGGGAAAACTGAACATCAGAGCAATTCTTTTGTCAGCAATATCAGAGCAATTGCCACAATTCTTCATATGTAATTATGTCTAATAAATTAACTGCGTATTTAATCCTTTTAACTTACAACTACCTTTTTAATCCTTTAATATTTTATCGTAATACATGCCCAAAATCAAACAAAAAAATACCAAATATTATTTCTACTCAAAAGCAATTATCAAACAATCTGCTTAAAAACGCTTAAGTACTTGAGGTTGGGTTTAAAAATCAAAACGAGTCTTACTAGCTAAAATGTAAGGTAACTTATAAGCAGGCATAACCACTAATACAAACAGGGAAAGAGATTTAGACTGGAGGACAAGGACACGTAGAAAACGCTAAATTTATATAAGGCATATCTCTTGTTATTCATGTTAATAACTTAATATCAAGAAATATATGATGATTACAATGAAAAGTAAGAGAACAACCAGAATGAGGAACAATATAACATGTTCAATCTAAGATAGGGCTGACATGGACTGCAAGATTCAATACATGGCCAATCATGGACTGCAAGATTCAACACATGGCCATTGGCCAATCCAGAAGGTTCCCTATCTGATGAATGGTTTGGATTCACCAGAAGATTCCTCAAATAGCTAAAATACAATAGAATACATGCAAAAGCTCCCTACTAACCCAATAAGGAAACCTTTTCTCCATATATATGTATGACTCAGTCAAGGATTTAAATTCAAATGAGTAAGGTTTTTTGCTGGGTCCTAACTTCCAGCTTGCTTCAAAACTGAAATCTTACCACAATTTTTAATGGAATTTCAGAATCTGTTCCAAATTTCACGAAACTTAAATGCATACTCCAACTTCTTTTCTCTTTTTCTACTCTTTTCTTTATCTCCTTTTTTATCTTATCAACTTTCAAGTTCCACAATCCTACTTCATCTAGTTGTCTAAATTCTACCCCATTCATGAACCTGTGTGAGACCACAGGTTCAAGTCTGATAGCAGACAATTCATGCTAATACATGTTCTGATTAAGCCAATGTCCAGTTCACCCCTCCCAATACCCAGGACCAGCATTACAGAATGGTCTTTTATAGTAATACTTCCATGTCATGCCTAAGTAACCAAGTGAATAGGGTAGACCATGACAAATTGACAACAAAACAATAAATGAACATTTTCTTGCTTGGTAACTTAAAAGTTTTATTAAGCAATAAATGGACAATGACACTAACCATTACTTATCAAAAAAAATAACACTAACCACTACCCAATGTTGGTCCCAGCTCTCTGGAGTCTTGGTAGGGATGGACCAATGTTCTTGTATGAAAAGAAGTATATATACAGAATGAAGAGAATCGACAAATGGGCACTTGAAGGAAATAGTTTGAGAAATATTTATCCTCATACAATCATACTCAGAAACATAATCATTAAAAAAAATCACCAATCACAAATCTCAAGAGTTAGGTATAGTATAAATATGTAAGCCATCTGCATAAAGCTTGTCATACCTCCTCCATCAATGGGTTTTTCTCTAATGTACTTCATAATATCCCATTCCCAGAATATCAATTGACGTTTGAATAAACGACCATGCAGGTCTAACCACGATAGATAAACTGTTACTGTGCAATGCAATACAATACTGACCATAACAATGTCTAACATCTAACTTCGCCCCATCCCAACCAAAAAAATGCGGGAACCAAAACCAACGCAACGTAAAGAACTGTGAACTGAATAAATAACATGAAAAGTCATGGTGCATATATAGAAGTCATAATTCAACAGCAGTTTAGGTAACATGAAAATGTCCAAGATACACATTCAACTCCCAAAAATATATAAAGCACACTGGCACCGGGAAATGCTAGAAACAGAGAGGGGAAACCGGGAAAAAACAAATGCCAATGAAGCCATACCTCGGAGAACCCGCATACAAATTCCGACGAAGAATCCGGCCAGTGATCGAATCTCCACTATCGATCAACTCTCTCAGCCCCAAATTCTCAGCTTTCCGCCCCTCTTCTTCATCTCCCTCCTCCTTCTCTCCATCCGTGTTTTCGTCTGGAGTTGGCTTCAAGGGCAACCTCTCAAAGTAATTACCATAAATATACTCGGGCGTATAGCCATTCTCCTCATCGAACAACGTGATATGGCCGTGCCACTCCCAAACACGATAATCTGAGCCCGTCTCTTCATGGAAACCAACACAGATGTGGTGATCACCAATCGTGACGGCTTGTCCTGAATTGGGTTTTAGGGTTTCGGTCTTGGCGCTAAGGATTGTGCGGATGATCTCCTTCTCGAGCTTTGCTTCCTCCTTGGCCATCAGGGATTTGTCTTCGTCGTCGAAGTTGTCGTCAATGGAGCTGTTATCGAGTAATAAATCTTCCAAGCTTTGGGAGAGGTAAGAGTTCGTATGGAGATAAGGAGATCGGAGTTGCAATCTACCCATCATGCTTTGGAGGAGGAGACTGTCGAAGCTGCTGTAGTTGTTGTAAGAACTCATCTTCACTTGTTTTGGGTTTCTCTGTCTTGTCTCTGATGAAGGAGCAACGGGGAAGTTACTGGACTGGAAGGGTTTTAGCAGGGGTTTTGGATTGTATCCGATTTGCTCCGCATAAAGCGCCTCACACCAACCTCACCGCACATTCCGAATATCTCCCATACTTATATTTTCATTGATGGGACAGTTACCATTTTCTTCATGGCCCGAGTTCGGATTAGACCTGTTCATGTGCCGCCGGGCTTTCACCTGTTATTAATATAATATAGCGAGAAGTACCAATCAGCCCAGATCAGAATTCTCTATAAGGGGGAATGCATCCTGAAATTCACGGTCAGGATGTGGTTATTGGGGGCAGAGGATTAGTAGTAAGAGGGCTGGAATTCAGAATTCTGTATCGTGTGTTTTTGTATTTCTCTTTATATCGAGGGCACGAGCCCAAGTTGAAAGCCCTCGTGGAGGTGTGAATTGGGTCGTACTCTCCTGCGGCCTATGGGCCGTCCTATCCTCCAGGGATAATTTGGGGGGTCATCTTGGCATGACCCACGGCCCAAGCTCATGCCGTGCCGTGGGCCTGAGTGGGGTGAGCTGTAGGTCATGCTAGGCCTTGGGTATGGGCCAAATTGGATTATACTGTTTTTTTTTTTATTTCTTTGTTAAGTAAAACTAAATTATTTAATTTTTCTTTGGGAACTATTTGAAAAAATAAGAAATCTAACAAATAAATGAAAAAAAAATACTTAATCAAATAAAAAGTCAAGGAAACAAAGACTCAAAGTGAATAATAAATTGGAAAAAAAATTATGAATTTTATTTCATTTAAATTTGAATGATACAAATCATACAATGGTTGGATCAATGAAATATAAAAATTAGAAAATGGAAAAAATTAATAAAATATAAAAAATACAATATAGTTACAAATTGAAAATAAAAATTATATTATTACAAAAATCAAATAAATTAAATAAAATTAAAACAAAATTTACAATAATTTGAAAAAATGTTATACAACTATTGAGTATAGAAAAAATATTGACTTCATCGTTTTCTCCTATTGTTCTTAACTTTTATCGTTTTCTTAAGATGAAACATCAAGTGTAGTGTCATGTCCTCCTTTTGTCTTGTAATTTATCTTCAATATCCAGCCAATCTTTAAAGTAAATGCACATATCTAGGCTTTCATCATTCATATAGCTTCTCTTGTTGTCCAATACCCTAGTCCTTGCACTATAACAAGACTCCGATGGAACTGTAGACACCAGAGAGGTTAGTATATCTCACATGCCATGGCGGCGAGAACTGGATAATTTTTTGTATGTTCAGCTTACCCAAAATGCCCCCAAACTAGTTGTTATATAGCTATCGAGGGGCATTTGTGTCATTCTCCCCCCTTCAAGACCAAAATACATGAATACCTCCCCTATATAGTTGTTTATAGCTTGTTGCCTCCCCATCCGAAAAGCTGAAACTAGTCATTAGGGGATCCCTAACGGCTAGTTTATCGGACATGCTGAGCGTGGCCCACTACGGACTTGTGAGACATGCCATAGGCTGGGTTGTGTCAGCACATGAGCCGCAGGTGACATAACACGCATAGTCATGCCAGCCTGTGGTCTTGGAACCCCAAGCCCAACACGGCCTGGACCATCGTATCAGGCCTGGCATGACCCCCGTGCTGTCTTGCTGGGCCATGCTGGGTTGCGGGCAGTATGGCCTTATTTACACGTCTCATGAATTATGAATGAAAACGCTAGAGTGCCACTCTAGTTGTCGGAGAGAGAGAGAGACCTAGAGTTGTTTTTAGTTGTCGAAGTGTCATTGTAGATGTTATTGAAGCTATTGCGGAATGGGGATTAGGGACACCGCCTCTCATCTGGATAGACAAAGACCAAGGAGAATGATACTTCATTGCTCACTGGTCACGCCGCTTGTTGAAGGAGATTATCCAATAGGTACCACCGATGTTGATGTGGAAGATAAGAAACTTCCAAGTTATTGTAGATTCGAACAAGTTGAGGGAGAGAGACTATCGAAGAAGAAGAATTGGGGTTAGGAAATAATATGTATATTATTATATTTTTGGTAACATATATTATTAATTATTATTACATATATAATATTATCAGGCCGGGCCAGGCTTTTTATGTGAAATCCCAAGCCCAACCCAAAATTGAGTCGAGCTTAGATAATAAGATCCGGACCCATGGGCCTAATAATATTGTCCAAGCACGATTGTAATTGGGCCTAACTGAGCCAGCCCGTCGGGCTACCCAACCCATGAACAGGTCTAGTTCAGGGTTGACTCTTCTCAAAATTTGAATGGAATTGGCTCAAAGTCTACACCCGATAGAATATGCAAGCCAAAAAGTTCGATCTATGAATAGGTCATGCAACGTGTTGTAAGATAGCACGTTTCACACCAATTTCACAACACCTACAACCCCACATTTGAAATATCTCCCGTAAATGTATATTGTCATGTTGTTGGAAAATAATAAATAAGGTATTTTGAACTTATCAGTAATCGCTTTCCAAACTGAAAACTTGTAGGAGTGTAGTGTTGCAGAACTGACAATATGAGAACCTGCAGAGAGAAAGATGGATGAGTAGTGTCATTTGGTTACTATCCTTAAAACCACATTTGTCCCATACGGTGCAGTTGGGTGATTGCAAATTGGTTGCCAAGATAAAAAATCCACAGGCCACTAGTAAGTGTGCACTCGCTTACAAAACCTTCGCGAACCATAGAGAATGATGCTCGTATTGATAGAGAAGATTGTCGAATGTATTGGTGTGAGAAACTAGGTTGACCAACACTCCTTTAATAGAGTGTTCTCAGTCACCCAAATTGACACAAAAGTGTCATTTCAGGCAGAGAGGCCTCTTCAAAACAGTGCACTTGTTTGAAAATACACAAAGTGGAAGTGACACAAATGGGCAGGAAAACGTTTAAAAACAAAAAAAAAAATTGAAATTTAAAAGTCAAATGTTTAAATCGGTCAAAAGCAAAAACATCCTGCACGTATACACACCCACGCCCCAACCCGGTTCAGCACGTGGATGTGAAAAACACCCCCATCCCCTCCTTCATATGCATGGAAATATCTATAATATAGATATACTCCATCTATACTCCTTTGTCAAGCAATGTGGGACAAACAGGAAAAAACAAAACTAAAAAATACAAGAGAGATGAAATATTTTTGAAAATTTGAAATCTCATGCAGATTGGATTTATCATGATGTCCATGTACCGTACGGCTGCAATGAGGTTGGTGTGAGGTGCGATTTGTGAGGAAAAAATCCAAATTTAGATTTCACATTTTTTATTTTTGTGATAATTTTAATACTTTTAAAATGGGGTTTGACATTGAACCGCACCAAACCCATGCCCAATGACATAGTGACATTGAAAATTTGTTTAGGCTGCGTTTCAAAGCGGTGTAAAACGTTAGATGTAAAAGTCCACCGATGACTTTTCATAGTGAACCATTTGAAAATATGAACCATTGAGCATAAAAAAAGCGTGCTTATTGATTGATGTAGTATTACATCGAGTTTTTGTATTGATAATCAATGTAAAACCTATCATAAGTGACATTTTACATTAATTTATGATATAACATCCAAATATTTATAAATCTGAACTAGAGTAATGTTTTACATTGATATTGATTTACACTTCAAATAAACACCGATAAAATTAAACTGATGGTTAGGGATGTTAGTGGATCGGTTTAGCATGGATTCGCCTCAACCCTAACTTGACCCTACAGTGCCTCAACCTGAGCCCAACCTCCATCAGACCCATATTAAAAATATGCAGTTTCCAAAACCAAGCACAACACTATAGGGTCTAACCCACCGGCCCGACTCGACATGTAGCATTTCAATTGCATTTTTTATATAATATATGATGTCACTCTTCCCATTAAAAAAAAACAAAACAAACATGTAAATAAATCTTAAACTTTAAAACTATAGAGTTAAAAGTTAAAAAGTTACAATAATACTTTATCTATATGCAAGGTATCATGACCCGACTGGGGTGGGGGGTGGGGGGTCAATCAAAACCCAAACCCGACCCGAGTGGAAGAATCAAAACCCTAACCCGACCACAAAACTGAATATATTGGCCCTAACCCAACCCTATAGGGTCGATCCAAACCGAGCTTATCATTTAACCCAATCCCACCGACCCTACCGATGGTGAGATTTTACACCTATTCCAAACGCAAAGTGTAGTTGAGTAGATGATGTCATTGATGAAAAAGGTAACCGCGTTTTGTACACCCTCGGGTTCACTGGATGAGTGAACCCACCAACGAGTGATGACCACGTTGTCCCTAACATTTTGGCGGACGTTAACATGCATCGTGGTTGAACCAAGCAAAACACGACAAAAATATCCGATAAAATCCTTTGTAAGAAGAGAACCCGAGAGCCTTGTCTCTCATTTTTTCTTCTCCTCCATCGGCGAGCACACCACATCGTCCGTCGTCCATCGTCCATCGTCCATCGATGGCGAAACTATGGCGCCAATATATGGTATGGCATCCTCCTCCTCTTCTTCTTCTCCTCCTCCCCTCCTTCTTATGTTTTGAACATATCGAATGTGAAAATAAGAGCGCTTATCAAATTATATAAAAAAAGGAGAATTTGAAAACAATGGCTTAAAACATTTTTTTGCAGAAAAGGGAGAAAGAAATAAAAAAAATCTATGATGCGAAAAAGATATAGTATGGAAAGAGCTTTGACCAACCAAAATCTATCCATGAATTTTAATAAATAACACCTAATTCGCTACTAAGTTTATGACTGGAATTGATTGGTTAGATGCGTTCCAGATATCATATATTTTCCGTATCATATGCGAACCCATAAAAGAGTAAATCCGGCTCTAATTTGAATGAACCGGGTTCGGACCTTAACTTTTACCAAAGTTTGAATGAACGTGGTCCAACGTCCGAGCTTGAAAGTGGTATAAAATGTTGATGGGCCGAACACGAAGCCCGACCCGTGAACAAGCTTAAATTGATGATTATGTTGCCTCTCATATTAATTATTAATATTTTTTTTTTTCCAAAAAACCAAGGAAATCGTAATTCACAAACCTAAAACAGAGGGCAGTTGTGTAATTACAGAAGAGAACCCCGTATAATAGGCTACCGAGGTTTCTTTATTTCACCCTCGAAGGCCCAAAACCCTAGCTCCTTCTCTTCATAAACTACGGTTTAGAGAGGCCGCCGCAGATCTCTGCTTACAGGTACTATTTCGATCCTCGAAACAAAGGATATTACTTCGTTCCCTCTTTTCTTTTTACTACCGGTGTTTGTTCATAGGTTCGATTGTTATCTTCTGCCAGTCACCTTTCTCTGTATGTTTCTATTTGGATTGAGAAAGACGCATCCATGGATTTGTTGTTATACTCTGTTCTGCTTTTCTTTGATCGTTGTTTGCTTTGTCTTGCTTTCCTTTTTTTCCTTTCGTTTTTTCTCCACTCGAATGAAATGCAAATGTATCTAATCGCTTCATGCCTAAGTTGTTTGAGAAAGGACTCGTCTTGTTTTATATTGTTTTGGTTTCTTTGTGTATGTAAATGTAATAACAAAAAAAAAAAAAGAAAGTTGTTTCTTCTCATGTCAACTTGTACACATACATTCTGAGCTAAGCGATCGCTGTTGACATGAGCCGGATACCGGCGGTTTACCCAAATATTTTACTGGTTGAATAATTCTAACAATTTGATTTGGTGGAATATTCTCATACATTAGCAAGCATGGTGATTGCCCAAGTTTTGTTCATATTTGATGTATATTAGGTTACATATTACGTCTTCTATTGTTAGACTAATTTTCAGAGCAAGCCTACCACATTTACTTGCTAGCATTTGCATATAGTCCGTCTCCGGGGTGAAGCTTTACTATGAATTGGCTTCCTATGCACGTTGCTATTGCAGTGAATAGTTTGTTAAACTGCTAATGTGTACATTGCTTATGTTATACCCGAACTATGTTCGAGGCATGGCTGTAAATAGAAGCATAGGTTCTATGGTGTTGGATGCATTGCCTAGTAGCATGATAAGAGACCCCTTGTAGTTGCTCACTTTGGTAATATTTGAAAACCCATGCTCGCTATTATTAACCCATTAGGTTTCTTAAAGTTTCATAATCCAAATTTGTCAGCTGTCTTTGACAAGAAGAATAAGTAGGCATGTGGTTACCAAAAACAAATGGTTGCTTGTAATCTGTTCAGCCTGTTGAGACAGGAGAAACACATGAGACTTAACTCCACAACCTATGTTTGTTTCTACCCCCCTTTCACTATTGCTCTCAGCATCATTACCAGCATGATGGTTGGTCATTGGTGTATATTGTTCTTATTCTTTCATCACTTTGGTTCTTCCCTCTTGGGTATTATCTAAGCTGAATTGTTATTGTTAATATGAACCTGTCAAAGATTGCATTTAAGGAAGCGAATCAAGTAATAAGATTTGAGAAAGCTTTGGCTGTCCACAGGCTATTGACATGTGACGTGTTAATTCATACAACTATCCCTTCGACACTGTTTGCAATAGCATGTAGTTTGTATGGACTAACGTGTCATGCAGGGAGAGCCCTGTAGACAGCCTTTTTTCTACGAGATTTACCTTTCTAAATTGAGATTTCACTTTTACAATGGAATCCAAGATCGCCATTGGACTTAAGGAGGTCTGCAATACACATATTGTGACATGGCACTGAAGATTTTTCTTTTGCTTAATTGGAAGCTGTCCATTTATAGGTTCTGTTATTCAATCGAAGATATCTACTTGCATAGCAAACTTCTGTCTAATCCATACATGTTGGGTACTTTGATAAGAATCCAAGTGTTCATAATAGTGTATTAGTGTTGGCTGTTTCTGTATTGGTTGCATCTAAAATGTCAAGATTTGTCCCGAACAGTTCTTATTTTACTGTTCCTGGTTAATATTGTCAATGTGCATGAAAAAAGCAAGTATCAATCAGATTTTTTTTTGATAAATGATCAATCAGATTGCATTTGGCATGTGATTTATAACCTCTGATTGTTAAGGACAATAACCACGGTTTTCACTCTTAGCAGGAGCAAGTGTTGGGAAAATGGTGAGAGTTAGTGTCTTAAACGATGCTCTTAAAAGCATGTATAATGCAGAGAAGCGGGGAAAGCGACAGGTTATGATTAGACCATCATCAAAAGTGATTATCAAGTTTCTCCTTGTCATGCAGAAGCATGGTTTGCGCCTATCCCTAATTTCTCTATGTCTATATTCTATTCTATTCATTTTGGATTCCAATCCTCAATATTTACTTTCCTACATTTTTTTGGCACTAAATTTTTGTTCTTGCTATTGGTCTCTCTGAAGGTTATATTGGGGAGTTTGAGTATGTTGATGACCACAGAGCTGGCAAGATTGTGGTTGAACTGAATGGAAGGCTTAACAAGTGTGGGGTTATTAGTCCTCGTTTTGATCTTGGGGTTAAAGATATTGAAAACTGGACTGCGAGGTTGCTTCCTTCAAGACAGGTTTGGGTCTTGCTTTTAACTATTATAGAAAAAAATGTTCTGGTTATTACTGTTTGAAAAACATCTCCTGAAAATTGCTGGTTACAATGACTATTTTAGTAACAAAAGATACTTTCAGCCATGCCAATGTTAGACTTTACATTGAGTGTTCACCCTTTTGATGGTTCCTTCGAGATAACTGTTGTCAAGGCATCGTGGTGAAGCCAGGTGTTATGGGGGGTATGCTGTTGCCTATGCAATCCACCTATGCATTGGACTTTTTAAAATGTAAAACCTAAATATGAGAGGTAATTCCCTATATTTCAATGCACCCAGCAGGCTTCTTTCATTAATACTTAGCAATAATTTTCATAAAAAATTTTGAACTTCATATTGAAACATAGAAGATCAACAAATAATGAAAAACACAGAAAATGAAGAATGAAAGAAGGTTCTCTTCGAAAGAGGAAGGGAAAAACTTGGAAAATAAGTGCCCCTGTTTTTGTCCCTGAAGAAGAAAAGGAAGGGGCAGAATTAGAACCTTTGTTTCCCTTGTGTGTTGATTGATAAAGTCTACCACCGAGGTTAGGTGGATTCTGGCTAGACTTCCATCATTGGTTATCTAATCTTGTAAACATTTCCAGTTCTAATGACCAAGTATCTTACTAGCCTTATCTATCAGGAAATCTTTAAGTTCTTATAGGTTCAGGTTTTGAAGTCTTCCACATAGTGTATACCGACTTTTGTGTTGAACTGACCCTTCTACAAATAAGAAAGAAAAAAAACATTTACTATTATTTGAGTTATGAAAGAGTTTATGATGAGGCATGATATCCCAAAGTGATAACCAATCAACCAGTATCGGAAGTATTGTAATCAGTCAGCAAGTTTCTTCATGATTCATGGGAGTTCTTATTGATCAAAGTTCTTTCTGTGTCATAACTGGCATCATATGTATTGCTATTATATAAGCCCCCAAAATGAATAATCTAATGCTATGGTGTCTTGTAATATTATAATCTTTCAAAATAAAAATGTTGCCTTGTGCAAAAAGGGTGCCTTGTTGTGTAGGGGTTGTCTTGACAACCATGTTCAACAGACCACGTCATCTTTGTATAGATGGGCTGGCCTCATCCAATCAGGTGATATTTCCCTTGGAGTCCGGTTGTGGCCAAAATGGTTGGTTCTGACCCTGTTGCAGATGGTATGTCTAGTCCTATGTGTTAAGATGTTATTTTTGTGTTGGTATTCTTGTTTCACTTGGTTCTGGTTTTGGTACGGTTGTCTTGACAACCATGTTCAACAGACCATGTCATCTTTGTATAGATGGGCTGGCCTCATCCAATCAGGTGATATTTCCCTTAGAGTCCGGTTGTGGCCAAAATGGTTGGTTCTGACCCTGTTGCAGATGGTATGTCTAGTCCTATGTGTTAAGGATGTTATTTTTGTGTTGGCATTCTTGTTTCACTTGGTTCTGGTTTTGGTACCAACACGGCAATAATCCATGGTTCCAATCCAACAAAATAACTGTTTTGAACATTAACTTTTTATGGCTTTCTGAACTAGAAAGCATGGTTTGCTATGTACACGTGACATTAAAATTGTATGATATGTTTCACGCACCAGTATGGCTTAAAACGTAATGGTTCTATTTGATGTGTCTACCAGAATATGATATTTGACACACTAATGTGGCTTCAACTGTTATGTTTCTATTTGATGATAACTATATGATGGTATCTATCAAAAAATGAACCATGAACAGAAACAACCTCTTATACATCTTGCGGTTAAAAAGGATTTTGTTATTTTTCAAGAATCATATCACTTTCTGAGTCATGAACCTAATACTACCTTGTAGTATCCCAGATCAATGGTTGAGTAAGGTGAGGTGGTGTTTGGTTCGTGATTCAAAAAAGGACGGTTCTGTGCCAAACCATATCATCCTTTTTTTTTGAAAATGAAAACATTGATTTTGAACCATCATAGGCAATAGGCTTTGTTCTATGTATGGTTATAGTCATAAGTCATGCATGCTTTTGATTTATAGTTTTTTTTTTTGTTTTGATCGATTTTATGAAAAATCCTGCAGTTTGGATACATAGTGCTGACAACTTCTGCTGGTATCATGGACCATGAAGAGGCTAGGAGAAAGAATGTAGGTGGTAAGGTACTTGGTTTCTTCTATTAGGTTGAAGAGTGTGGAGGCGGTAGAGCAGTTATTTCTTCTAGTAGGCGAGTTTTCACTCGGGATGTAGTTGGAATTTTATGCATCCTGAGGATTTTATTTTGGTGCTTTTTGGAACGTTGTACTGTTTTTTTTTTTATATTTACTCGTCGAATTTTCTTTTATATTTTGAATTTTATTGGAGATTATTAGATGCAACTATTTTAGAGGATTAAGGTTCATATTTTTTCTTCTTACTAGGCATGGCATACCAGGACAAGTTCGTGCCTCTTTGTTATGGGACTTTCAGAGTCCTTGTTCCTACAATAATAAATAGTAATTACTCCTTGTGATTAACTCAAAGGTCAGGCCAATCTGTGAAGTCTTTATTCACAGGATTAATGGTTCAGCCCATGGTTTTAAAAAACGACCTGGAAACGGAACCCTTCTGGCCACTGATTTCCTTGTTGATGGTTCCACTGTTCGGTTCAAACGGATGGCCCTTTTTGACAAAAAAATAAAAAATAAAAAATGGCCAACAGTTGAACAGGGTGAATGGTCAATAGTTCAACCGTCTGAGTCAAAGGGTCGCTGATTGATTCAATGGTTTTTGCTATAGATTAGGTTTGTAATAAAATGGAACAGGTTGCCTGTTCGGTTTCTGGGCCGAACAGTCTGACCCTCCGGTGGAGTGACGGACGTGGCCAATTAAAGTCGTTAAAAATTAGAGGTGGATGATTCATGATTCATTCAGTCGCATGATAAAATAGCATATCAAGTAATAACCGTATGGGCCTAGCACAGCCACAGGTGGTAATGAGACAACGACACGCATTGTTTCCTCATTAATATATGGTTGAGATTTATCTGATTACCTGGATTGGATGAGTTTGTTCGTCTCCGCATTAAATTAATCTTTAATTGAGACAAGTGATTTACAGAGCCCAACTGCTCAAGTCAAAACGGGATGAACGCCGATACGTTGATGTTAATTGCTTCAACTAAAGAGTCCGCTCTTTTGTATTGTAATATTTGTATGCCTGAATTAAAATATTAATGCACCATCCGATATGCCTGTAGGGGTGTATCAGGAAGTTATGATATTGATACTTGAACTTTGCATCATAGTGAATCTCGAGATGGTTAGGTATTATATTTTTTTTGTATTGGTAGTGAAGGGTTCCATTAATCAAATTTTAGGATTGAAAAATAAATCTTAGTATCCAAGCATATCTGGGTATATTGATACCAATATAATATTCCTAATATGTGATATATCATTCTGATATTTTAATCCTCGTTCTACAATGACCGCTAAAGGGGGTGGTTCCGTGGTGCAGTGGTGGTGTTGTCCTTGTTTTAGTTTAGTCAATACAAATTTGTGAGAAATATGTATTGTCACATTATATATAAGCAATATTCAAAATATTGATGTCCAATATGTCAGTATAGGCGTATTGGATGAATCGATACCTTTTTTTTATGTTTTATTTATTTGTTTTTCGAAATAGGTTCAGGGGGGCTGGGTTAGGTCTCCTTTACACCCTGAATCGGTCAGACCCCCGATACACCCATTATAGGGGCGTATTGGAGGGGTCCCGGAATGATACGTATCGGTCAATATAGACTGAATCGATACCTTTTTTTTCATGTTTTATTTATTTATTTTTCGAAATAGGTTCAGGGGGGCTGGGTTAGGTCTCCTTTACACCCTGAATCGGTCAGACCCCCGATACACCCACTATAGGGGCGTATTGGAGGGGTCCCGGAATGATACGTATCAGTCGATAGACTGATACTTTGAACCTTGTTTGTAAGCATCTATTAATTAGAAAATGCATGTGTTTGAGTGTTTTAGATAGAAATAACAATTTGTGTTGATGAACTCAGAATATTTTTAAATATTTTCAGGTAGAAATCCCTCTCTTTCTCTCTCTCTCTCTCTCAACTTAAAACGCAACAGCAATAAAACACTGCTATACCAAATAACTCGATTCTAAGGTTCACTCACGTTAGTCTCTGTGATAGGGCGGATCCTACTCTGCGGTTCTGCCAATCTGCCAAGGACAATGAGGGAGGTGTGGCACACTTTGCAGTTAACTCCAGATCTCCTGTCTACAAGAATTTTACCCATGCCTACTCACAAAATACTATCATACTATCTCGTAGAGAACATTTCTCTATATGCACAATAACATGGAAGAAGATGAGATGTTCCCTATGTGTGACTAAAATGTTAGATGAGTAGGTGTGGGTAGGAAATCCTTTGCTCTCAGGTAATATAATTCATTGAACGAGAAAAGTAGGCAACCTTCTAACTTTTAACTTCTCACAGTCTGCCAGTCGTACTGGTTTTGCTTAATTTTTGGAATCATCAACCAATAAGGTTTATCCGTGTGGCATTCGATTATTTTTATCCAACTCAACTGATGCAACTGTATAGACTATAGAGATCGCAACTCGAAAAGGGAAAACTTGGAACTTGCAGGCTTGCTGCCCTTGTATAGACTATAGAGATCTTTAATCAACCAACGTTAACCAATGACACATCTACATAAAAAAAAAGAAACAAAAAAAAAAGGAAAGAGTTCGTTGTATTTCCATTGTAATTGAGTTAAACGTAGACTACTATAATTTATTATAAAAAGCTGAAGAATTAGAAGAAAACAGACATCTCCATTATCAAAACAGCTTAAAGCAGGAACCATCTCAGCTAGAGCTTAGAGGAGACATTGCCAAAGGATCTCAAGTTGCCCACGTGGAGAGAATTACGATAACGACCTAACCACCGCCACCACCATCGCCAGTGCATTTGCTCGTCATCATCTTCATCGTTGGCATCGCCCTCCACGGCTTCGGACCCCATGAGAAGAGACTCAAATGAAAAAACGGACTGCTCTAAAATAGGTGAGAGGCGGAAAGAGATGTAGAGAGAATAGTAGGCGGGGTTTAATAAAGGGAATTGGCTTTCGGGCTTCTGTGATTTGCTTTACTCAAGGGTCGGGGGGGGGGGGGGGTGATATTCGGTAAAGCAACAGAGGATCTTCTCGGCATATACTCGAAGCACAAATAGCTTTGCATACTCTTTATTCTCCCATTTGCCGTCATGTATGCTATATGTTTTATTCGCCTTCTAAAAAGGCAAACGCGGCAATTGTGGAATCTACGCAAGTATTTTCCCCTCATTTTTAGCTTGCTGTTTCGCCAAATTAGCACTTCTCTCATCTTATCATTAAAAATTAATTATATTGAAATTGAGATATTCAAGAATAAATTATTGTACTAAATAATCTACTTCCATTTAAAATTATAATCCATTTGAAAATAATAAAAATTAATTAACCATAACAAAAATAATTTAGTTAAATAAAATAGAAATAATTATTGTTATTGATAAAAATATTTTTATTAATATAATAAGAATAATTTAATCAATAAAAGGAATAAGATAAACTAAAAATGAATATCAATTTAAAATTAATATAAAACTAATACAGAATTATCTAATAATTATTAGTTTTTTTTTATTAATTTAAAACTAACTTAAGTTCCACTAAAAAATAATATAGTTAATTAAATTTTAGAAGAAATTCAAATTTAATAAAAACTTGATATACATAAATAAAGTCAATTTTTACTAATTTTAAAATTAATAAAAAATATTAGTTTTAAGAGTGCAAAACCTTAATCATATTTCTAAACCTTGAATTCATACTCTTCCCAAAACTGAGCCAGAAAATTATAAACTGCAGAAAAAACAATACCAGAACCACTATTTTGATAATATCATCTGATTGGTAACCACTTTTATGATACCAAACCGGTTCATTGCTCTTTTTTCTTATCGCTATTCTAAATTTATTTGCGGGAAAATCAAAACAAGCTGTCATGAGAGTATTACAAATACAAATTTACAAACCCATTCACTAGAAGACGTAATATAAAAAGCACACGTTCGGTGATACAGACGTGCAAGAAAAGTTTTAGAGATTCCTTAACAATGAAAACCTACATATGCGCCAGCCATTTTGTATGAAGATAATGATGTCCTGCGACGGGTCTGCCTATCTCCGAAGGCCCTCCACAATATAGTCCGCATATAGATTCCTTCATGTCAAAAAGAAACAAAACAAGTGAATCACTACTCCACAATTGACATATTAAGCGTATGTTCGCCAATGTGTATGGTTCGTTTTCTAAAACAAAGTACGGATGTTTTTGTTTTAGAAAACAAAACCAAACAGGTGGAATTGTAAATCACTTTATTAAAACACTAAGCAGGTGGAATCGTTTAGCCAGACACCAGCACAAAACTCTCTCTCTCTCTCTGCCATTGAAGATGTTTACTAATGTGTATGGTTTTGTATTTTGAAAACAAAAACTGCAACATCAGCAAAATCATATTGTTTTTGCTGATGAGGCAAATGGTTCGTTTTCTAAAACAAAGTACGGATGTTTTTGTTTTAGAAAACAAAACCAAACAGGTGGAATTGTAAATCACTTTATTAAAACACTAAGCAGGTGGAATCGTTTAGCCAGACACCAGCACAAAACTCTCTCTCTCTCTCTCTCTGCCATTGAAGATGTTTACTAATGTGTATGGTTTTGTATTTTGAAAACAAAAACTGCAACATCAGCAAAATCATATTGTTTTTGCTGATGAGGCAGGCATTGGGCTCCACATTGGAGTTGGCCCATAAAGTCCCCAACCTTGCTACCCTGGTGCAGATGGGATTCGATCGCAAATCTCCGCTACCACCAGCTGGAGACCTTACCAATTACCAACCAACCAGTTGGTACCTTGCGGTTGTGGTGGTTATTTTTGTTCTCAAAAACAAAATCACATTTTTGCAATGTAAAAGATGGTCTTCAGCCATTTTGAGGCAATTGCACGTTAGCAGAATTCTATCCATCAAGGGGAAAACAATAAGCAGATAAGAAAGAAATAGCAACTTACATGGAGTGCTGGATGGCTTCATAGGCTGTTGATGATGGCAGAAACTCATTAACTGCAACTTCCTTGTTTTCATTTTTCTTGTCTGATTGGGATTTGTCAAGAGGATAAAACAAACCAAATATGTAGTAGTTGTGTACTTGTGTTGTCATAATTCATAAATACCAATAAAAGTGTCAATCAGTATGGTATTACCATAAAAAACAAAGAAATGAATAATATATAAACATGACAAGAAACCAGTGAATAAGGGATACAATCTTCAAAGAAGCGCCTGATCTCAGCCAAGCGATGGGGTGGAAGTTCCTTGATATCATTGTAGTGTCGGTACTCAGGATCATCAGCGCACACCGCAATTATCTTGTCATCTTTCTCACCCTGTATTACTTTGTATTAAACTATATTGTAGCCTTTTTCAGAGGCTAAATGAAGATTAATTTGTTAGCTGGAATACATGCCTGGTCAATCATAGGCATGAGGCCTATGGCTTTAGCACGAAGAAAACATCCCGGAAGAACTGGTTCCTATAAATGTTTGCAACACCACAAAGAATCAGAGAACCATGTTTCATCATTGAGAAACCACTTAAGGACAGCCCATTCAGAAATGTAGGCATGTCAGACACTGGATTGTGCTTCAAGCATCAGGCACCAATTATATTCAATATGAACCTCAATTTATTATATTTCAGTTTTTTTATAATTTTTGCCAACTCTTATCTTTTTACCATTTTTACCCCATGAATTCAGCTTATCCTGTAAATTATTTCTATTGGAGCATAAAATGGAGAGGATTGGCCTCAAATCTATCCAGACCCATACCCGGTTTTAGTTGGCCTGGGCCCAACCCAAATCTCGAAGAAGAGATCCACTTATGGTCTTATGGACCAACTGACCAAGTAATGGTAGACAAGGGTCCAGATATCAGGACCCATTTCCCCATCTGGATGCAGATATCAATTCATCAAGATCTGCTCCAGAAGCAACCCATTTATGCCTTTGAACCTTGTGGAATAAACCTTCATATATGTAAATTATACTTTGACATGAGTAACATAAAATTTGCATCATATAATACCTGCATCAGGACCAAAACATCCATTGGATCACTATCCTCACAAAGTGTGCGTGGAATGAATCCATAGTTATGAGGGTAGACAACTGATGAATACAATACACGATCAACCTGCATAATAAAACTTATGGATAAAGAGAGAGTTCAATCGAGCAAAATGACAAATAAAGGGTTTCTTGGTTACCTTGATCAAGCCAGTTTTCTTGTCCAGTTCATACTTCACTTTACTCCCTTTTCCTATTTCAACCACCTGCAAAGATTGGCAGGTCCTTTGTTACATGGGAAGAAAGCCTTTGTTATGTGCTATATTTAAACCATTGGGATCAAGTATGGTTTATGGCTTGCATGTCTCATTATGTCAGCCAGGTTCCAGAGATTAATCAATCCTTACACAGTTGAAAATTGTTGGAGCTCCAGGTCCTGAATCCATAAATACAACAAATAAGGGTGATGCCATTTATACTGACACGAATAATAGAAAGATAAGTAGTAGAAATTTATAAATATGAACTGATAGCAGCAAGAACAGATGTCATGTTTCAATGAAATTAATTACCTATCTCAAGATCATGCCATGGGTGTGCTGCAACTGATCTCCTAGACAAGGAAGAGAGTATCCTTTCATTGAGAGGAGGATGTGCTTTTTGCTGTGATCCAGATGTTTTCTTTGGAGTCTCAATAGGTGGACTCATAACTGCAAGCTGAAAATACTTGTGGATGAGCATTTCAGAAGTTTGTTATGTTTTTTCTGCAGTACATATTCTCAAGGTAGAAAGGAATTGCAGCTTTATAAATTAGTTTGCAAGGTGTTTTTTAAATAATAAAAAACGACTCCAATAAGGTTCTCATAGAGCATTTTGTACAAATACTAGAATATTAATAATGGAAAACCCTAAGGTTGTGTTTGGTTTGAAGGAAAATGTAGGGAAAGGCAAGGAAACCTATACAAGGTTTGTAAAGGTTTCCCTACATTTCCCTACCTTTTCCTTCAAACCAAACATAGCCTAAGTGAAAAGAAACACCAAGGAAAAGCCAAGGATGCTATACTCCATTTTGTCTTTCCCAGTATGGATAATGTTGTATTAATGTGTCTAACAAATATGCCAAGCTCCCCTTAAAGAAAGTAAATGAATGCCCAGTGACTTGTGTATATTGATCTAGAACTCACACAAAAAGATGAATAAAAAAGTTCACTATATGACATCTGAATATTCTGCACTTAAAATAGATTGTAAGTCGATGATGTTTAGCATTCGGTATACTATATGCTAGTTTTATTATTAAAGCATTAGAACTCTTTTGTAACATTCAAATATATCAATTACTAACTCAACAGACAAATTTAATCTGACTTTTGACTTTGGAAATCATTTTTTTATGTATGTTCATTGGAAATCATTAGAACCTGGTTATATAGAAATTCCAGTGTAAAACACAGAAGATTTCGAAAAAAAGCATTGATACCAAAATGATCAACAACTCTGATAGAGATGAGGAAGGACACCAAATAGCATACATTAGGAGGTGAGAAAAAGATTGTGCATGCTGTGCTACTGGAGTATATAACTCTTGGAATGGCATGAAAAGTTAATCCAAAGCATGGAAATGTTCTGATCGTTTTATTCATTAGATTTATTGTTATTATTCAGATGATCTTAAAGTTACAAAATTGCCCCTGGGCTTGGTGCCTCCAAATAAGCTCCTCCGGTCACCCCTGCCCAGGCTGCCTAGCTAATTATGTCAAGAGCTAAGTCTCCAATCAACTCCTTGTGCCAAGGGGTTCCTCAAGAGCCACCATACCACTAGCAATTAAATGGACGCCTGGAAAAATAATAGTAGAAAATACTTAAAGAAGAAACATGTGATAATTCAACAAACTCCATGAACTTGTCACTTTCTTCACCCCCATACCTATTTGAAGAAAATCATTCTTTTTCAAGTTTAGAAAATGATATTTCTTTCCACTTCTTTTTTGGCATAATTTCAAAAGGAGTACACACTGTTCCAGTCAACCATAGCAAACATATTTTGTAATTCATTCCATTAGGGCATATCTCTTTGCTAAAGCGGATGCCCTTTAATTGATCTTTTTCCTAGAAACATGAACCAACAGACTCTTTCTCAATTGATCTTCCGATAGTCCTTGTTGCATGACCATACCATCTCAAAATAAGTCTCTCTTTCAAGTAAACCAATGGCATTCATTGCATAGCTATGGCATCTCAAAATAAACCTGTTAGAACCAATGGCTTTCATTGCATAGCCATGGCATCTAAAAAAAAACTGTTAGCCAGTGGCTTTTGCTGCATGAACATCCTGTCTCAAATTAAATCTCCTCTTTTAAAGTTATGACTTGCAATGCATACTTAGTAGTCACTGTACATAAACTCTCAAATGTTTTCATTGGGTTAGCAAGCATCCAATCTACAAAAAACATTTTATGTCCAATCAAATTTGAAACACGCATATAGCACATAAAACATGCATACAATAGTTGTATGCGCCTACAAGACCTCAGTTTGCCTTTAACAACAGTGTGGATACAAGAATCTTGCATTAGCAGTAGGGTACCAAATCTACAACGCACATACAATATGCACACCAAAGCCCAGAGCTTCCAAATTATAATTATCTCAGAAAAAACAAGCTTCTTGTTTTAAAATTAAAGATTGATATATAAGATCACTGGTGAAATTTTATGTGAAAATGAGCCATGTATCTAGAATATGGAAATGATATAATATCATACTTGGAAGCAAGATGCAGAACCATAAAAAGGAGAGAAGGAAATTCAAATCATGGCATTGGCATGATTCAAACACCCATGGTGTAGGGATTAAGGAGTTAGGGTAAGTTTTAGTGAAACTATTGAACATCTCTTGCAACTGGCATTGAACAAGTTGATAAAAACATAACAGGTGGTTATAAAGCCAACAAGTTGAGTTTATGCACAGTTGGACATCTTGTCCTAAATGCATGGTGAGACCAATGAAAAAACACGCTACAGGACAAAATTTGGCACAACTGTTACCTTGTCTGTGGGGCAAGGTTGCTTACATCATTTTTTACCAAGATCCTTCAAACCCCAAATATCCTCCAATCAGTAACTGTTGCAGCTGTTATACACGCAATTAGTAAACATGACTTCCACCGTAAATCCACCCTGTATGACATTGTTTCCAAACTAAATGCCAATACTTTTGAAAACGTTTTGGACTAGTTTTTTCGAACTGCTTTTGCATTTTGTGTTTAGTCAAGGTGATTCTTCCTAACTTTCTATTATGATTCTGGTTAGTTGAGATAAAGCGATACATCAGCTAACTTTGACAGAACAACTCATCATATCTTCTCATGAATAGCCAACTCTTCTTGATGGGAGGACATCGTAGTCTGTACTCTCCACCATCATGTGACACAACAGAAGTTTGCTAGACTAGTAGATCTTTTTAGGAGAGAAGTGAGAGATCTAAGACAGGCTCAAGTGCCTTTTAAAGGACTAGTTGTCCTTAAAAGACTGAATCTGACTGAACAGCTTAGGCAAGGACTGTCATTGGAACAATTGCCTCTTGAGTTGAGGATCAGCCAGAAGTATTGATCACTGTCAGCACAGCAGGGATAAGGTCTAGCACTTCTGCATTTATGTAGTTATCAAATACATCTTATTTTTATCTTTACACGTGCACATGCATCTATTGGTAAGGTGGCTACAATGTAAGAACCATAAGATGATGGATCCCTAAATTTTTTAATTTGAACTAGGAACAATCTCCTCTGTTTAATAAAATAAAATCCTAGGTATGTAAAAGGAAAAGGAAAAGATCATACTAACAGTTTCTTCCATTAAGTGTTTAGATCCGATAAACAATAGATGCAAATACCTCGAGAATATTGATCTCCTGACTACAAAATGTTGAAGAAAATATAAGAATTAGAATACAAAATTCGATTTAACCGAAACACATTACCAAATAACAAGTTAATGACACTGGATCTTCGAATAGCATTAGAAAGGAACAACAAAGTCTACCTTCCATGACAAATACAAATTTAGGTAGCTAATCTGGGATAAGTTCTATGATCTAAAATATATCATACAGAATGCTACATGGTTGAGGTAGGACCTACTCACTGCACATTGATAAACCCAAAATTTACCTACGATAGAACAACAGCTACAATGATTAATGAACGCAAAAAAATCTGCGAAACAGCTGCAGATCCACCAAATCAACGGTACATGATCTGATAATCTATGCCAATTGAAAGGCGGGGGAGAGAGAGAGAGAGAAAGAAGAATGTAGCTGGACTAAAGCGTGTATATTTCGAATAAGAAAGTGACACCAGTGCAGCACATAGCAATAACAAAGACGAAAATGTGAACCACTCCATGCAATATAATTAACACTCAACAGAACATAGATATCCATGAACAGAAAGAACGATCACAAGAAGAGACAGAAGCTCAAAATGAATTTGCATCAAATACAACAAATCACCTCCGGACCCGGAGATCCAAAACCCTAGAAATGACAGTGTTTAGTAGTGTAACCAAATCTGGAACGTACCTGAAATAATCAAAGGTCGAAAGCAGAGGCGGAAGAATCAATCCGGTCTTTCAATCGGATCAAATGACAACAAAGAAGAACAAAATCTAAAATCTCGAGAAGAAAGCAGAGGACAAGTGAGAAGAACGGCAAGGGAATATCTAAAGAAATGAGAAACCCTAGCTGAGACGCATTTAAGTAGAGGGGAAGAAGTCGTGCAGCTCGTTCTCCCGCTTCTTTTCCTCTTTTGCCGTTCTTTTTATGTACGTTGCTGTAGGTCACGAAACCAGACTTTATAACAATTTTCCGGGAATTGCAAAGCAACACGTGTAACGTATTGATTGGTGATTACTCCAGGGCCCACACGGACAAGGGACGGCATTTCTAACGGTCGTTCCGGTTCGGTACAGTCGGGTCCAACCAATCAAAACGCAAAAATGCAAAAGGTGGTGGGACGTCTCCATTAAACGAAACGGCAGCATTCGCCATTAGGGTGTGTGGTAAGACTTGTGAAGAGAGGGGACTAGGAGTGAGGAGAGGTAGCGTGGAAGACTGGAAGCCAGCTCTGCCTTTACTGGACAAAGAGGCTTGAATGATTCCGAGGATAAAGGGATAATTCTTCTCTGGCGTTTACATTCGAAACAAGTTATACCACTGAGATGAGATCCGATCTCCACCACTCGGGGTCGGGGGAGAAAACTTCTCACTTGTATTATTATTATAAAAGAGTAAAACCTACCAGTCTTCTACTACAGTCTATCGATACCTATAAACTAGCCTATCAGAAAAGAAAAGTTCTACGAGCTTGTTTGGCATCGCCGTGTTTTGCTGTTCTTGCCGTTAAATAAATACTGCGTCCAGATCTGCTACCCACAAACATGAAGCACCACCGACAAGCCTATCCACGACACTACAGCCGCACATCGGGAACATCGTGTCTCCTAGATGGCTTTTCATATAAACGAGCAAATTATATATATATATATTGATGATTTTGGCTTCTACCAAAAAAAAAATGTAGAGGGCCGATTTGATATTTCCGTAATCAAGGACGTGCTGCTACAGTGCCCTTTATCAAGGAAAGAATTAAAAAAAAAAAGTCATTTTTATGAGTTGTCCTACAGAAATTTCTAATAGAAATAAATGATTAACCATATATATATATTAATATTAATAACCCCATTTAACAAAAAAAGCGTTGAAATATCTATGATGTTGTCTATACCATTTTTGTCATTTATATTAAAACAAATTAGGAATGAAAAATAATTTTGTTTAAAACTTAAAAAATAATGAAAATGTTTCAAATTGAGAAATCATATACATCCATTTTATGAAGAAGCAAATGCAGTGTATTTGGAGCTCGGTGCTAGATCTACTATATTGGTCAACCCAACAATATAATATTGATGTAAGCTTTAAAAGCATTTGTATGGTGGCATGGTGCTACAAGTTTGACCAACTCATGCTCATGAAAAAGTGTGATCAAATCATATGATCCATTTATATTATAATCATCTAAAAAGATTAATTGATTAGAGTGAATTTATTCTGATTTGATGTTTCTCCTGTATCGCTACACTATGGGGTTGTTCTTTTTCTGGATTTTGAGAGGGGAGAAAGTTGGTCAATGGGATTTTGATTCCCATCGACTAAGAATCCCATGTTCTTTTTTCAGATTTATGTGAAGATCAAGGAAAGTTTATTTTTTTTGGTAAGTGATCTCATCTCCTTGGCAGGTAAATAACTTTCTCACTTCGAGGAAAGTTGTCAACACTTGAATGGGACAAAAATGCTCATTATAATAATGGATTTTTATGGATAAAATGATTATTGTCTTGTTTTCATAGGAAATAAAAGAACATGGGTAAATGTACTTATCCGAACGGATAAGTCTTTTTTGGAAAATACTTACTTAGATTAGTGCATTTACCCAGATAAATAGCTTACCAAAAAGCAAACGGAGTCTATATAGAGAATTGATTTGGGCACAAAAGGATGAAGAAACCATGGTTTGTAAAGATAAACTCAAAATATAAAGAGTGTAGTCTTTTTAAAATATATAGCAAAAACTGGTTGTGCCAGAAAATAAAACAAAAAAAAATAATGTTTTCAAACCTAAAAATAAAGTTAGAGAATCACTAGCTGTTGCCTGTTGAGCCTAAAAACGGATTTATCTTTATCACTTTTTCATTTAAAAATAAAGAATAAGTTAATCCTAAACTCATCAGCACTATTTCCCAGCTTTTTTTTTTCCTTTCTTCATCAGTGCTCTCTCTACACTGCAACACATATTATAAGCCCGAAGACAAATTCATTCAACATCAGCTTTTGTTTGCAGGATTTAAGAATCTAAAGCTAAAGCTTGGAGAATAAAGCAAGAGGTTAGGCAATTTTTTCAATATTCATCAACAATTGAGATAATCTTTGCATGGCAAAAACAATTGAGATTACCTTTTCTGGCGACTTTGGTAGGTCATATATTGGTTCCAACGATCTAGTAGTGTGTGTGAGTGATCGCATCTAACCAAGTAACCAGGTAGTGTTTGAGATCCACTGTTGCTAAGAAACGGTTGGGGAATGTGGATATTTGCTGAATATACTATTCAAATCCTCGTTATGTAATTTTAACTGCTAGTGTGTTATTGGCAATTTTCTCATTCTAATTTCTCCTTATAGGGCTGTCAATGGGTCGGGTCTGACCCAATAGATCCGCCGCGATTGGGTTGGTTCTGGTTTCAGAAATTGGTACCGATGGGTCAGTGTCAGGTTTTGATATCGTGTCCTGATTATTATTGGTTTGGAACCGGTTTCATTCAGTTTCGAACTGATTCAAACCTGATCCGAGTTATATACATATAATATATAATATTAAATAAATTATATAATACATATAATATAATATTTAATATATATATATTTATTTATTATAATCAGGTCCATCGAGTTAGACCCGGTTGTCCTAAGAACCAATCAATTTGGTTCTGGTCTAAAAATTACAGACCCTATCGGGTCCGGTTCAGTTCAGCCCTCACTATTTCATTTTGGGTTGGTTTCCGGTTCTAGATGGTCCAGACCAAACCCCACCCGTTGACAGTCCTAAATATGCAATGTAGAACTCAATGTTAAAAAAGACCTAGGACCGGAATTGTATTGGCTAGTAGTTTTCGAATCAACGGTTCAACCGTTTGATTCGAATGAATAGCCCGTTATGACAAATAAATAAAAAATGACCAAAATCATTGAATAGATCGACGATTCGACTGCCCGAGTCAAACGGATTATTGACCGATTCAACAATTTTTAGCTAAAAACCAAGTTTGAATTAAAACAAAACTGGCTGCCTGAACAACTCTCGGGCTGAAAGGTTCGACCGCCTAGATCTCCCACTAGTTGCAACTCATGGGGTTTTCTCTTATTTACTTTCACAAATGCCAACTTTGCTTCATAATCATAAGCCACTTGTGTGGGTGATGTACACACTCAACCCGCGACCCAGTCATGTTTCAGGTCCATGTGAAGCCTATTTAATAGAGCATATTTGACTTGAAGCAAAGACACCATAATTTGCATTCAATTTTCCACGCAAAGGGGTGTTGAATCTTGAGTATTGGGGAAACTTCTTACACTTTTTTTATATTGCATTATAGACCTGTTCATGGGCCAAGTAACTTGGCCAGACCTGGTCGCAGGTTTGGTCTGTAAGTATCAAGGCCAATTGTTTTTTAGGATAGACTCAAACTTTTGTAAATAAGCCCAGTCTGAGACTATGTTCAGCCCAACAATATTATCTATAATATTATAAAACAGATTTTGACTTGGTTGCGGTTCGGGTCATCAAAGTTAAGTTTAATCATACGTGTCAGGGTCCGTTTGATTTATAGGAATAGGGGTCTGGAATTGGAATGGGAATGGGTTATTTTGATTCCAATTATTTGGTTGGGTGGAATTGGAATCCAATTCCTATTCCTGCTGGAATGACATTCCCCCATTTGAAGGAATGGCCATTCTTTGCCCTTCCCTTGAGAATGAAATTTCATTCCTGTTGGTTTTAATTCCCATTCCCATTTCTATCTGAACTAAACAGACTATGGGAAATGACCATTTTGATTCCGATTCCAAAGGATTTTGGTTTTGATTCCTATTCTGATTCTGACTATGAACGAAACGGACCCTAATACTTGCATACATGGATAACTTATGTTCTCACACCGGTATATAATAAAAAGATATATATTAGTAAATGGTAATATATGGTAAAAACATATATTAAATTTACTAATATATTATTTGTATTAATAATGTATAATAAAAATTGTGCATTCTTAGTCAGACCAAGCTTCGACTTTATATAAGGACTGGGCTTGAACTCAAGGTCTAGGCCTGATGGTCAAGCTAAACTCCGGCTCAGGCTTGGATATTCTCTGTTAATAAAGAGGCAAACCCACCACGAACCCGGCCCATCCTAGACCATACACAAGTTTAGTTGCATCTAGTAACACCTATCAATTATAAACAAAATGTCTATCTCTTTTGTTCTTAATGTAGCTTAAAGCATGACTATTGAAACCGGAATGTTTTAACTTGAAACACCACGACATCAAACAGCATGAATTAGTGCAATGCTATGATCATGGGCAGAAAATTTGCAATGGAAATGTAAAGCACAAAAAATTGTCAGATTTTTTTACCACTCAGCACACTATCACAAGTTGTACAAGATGCAAAGCAGAAGAACGCTATGGTGCAGAAATATGAGCAATGATCTAGGGTATGGAAGAAGCAAGTGAGCTCAATTGAATAATCTGGATGTTAGTTCTGATGGTCTGATAAACAAGCTAGGGCTGTGTTTGGAAACGATGCAAATAAGTGTGAATGCAAATATGTAGAGTATAAAATGGTTCATATAAATTGTAAATTTAGGTTAGTTTTGCACTGATAGATTTACCTTCTTTTCAAATAGACTTCTAGTTGTAATGGATGTTGATGGTGCACGATCTAAATGCTCCTATATGGAGAGTAGCTCGGACGTCAGTCCGCTTAGTTGGCCGGTCGAACTGCAAGAAAAAAATGCTCAAAGGACTCGGGGTGGCTTACCTAGTCTGGGTGCTCCGATGCTTAAGCCAGTAACTATATGCAAGCTGAAGGCCTGTAAGCTAGAAGGCTAGTGAGCAAATAATCGTGTGTACCTTGTAACGTTGGGGTTGGTGCATTTATATAGGTGAGCTGTCGTAGGTCTTATGAAACACATCCGAGATCCCTGGCCCGTACTACT